TTCAGGGAATTGCGGGAAGTAATTCTTATACGCAGCAACGATATCATCTAGTGACTTAAGATAAGATTTTTCAACCCGTCCCTCTTCTTTTTCAACCAATAAAGTCGTGTCTTTAATGCAGATGAATCGACCTTTAGGCCAGGTCATGCACCGAGGGCTTGTAAGATACGGTGGGGTGGATAATTTCTCTGTGTAGAGTGTTGTCATGACCCTATCGAAGTAGGAGATCTTCTGCGGCTTGTCGTAATGGATGTAGATGAAGGAATACCAGCCATCCTTGACTCTGTCTGGCCACAGGGAAGCTCTGGGATCGGTATCGGCATGGTGTTGACGGATGATGAGGTCGCCTTCGCGGATGAACCGGTAGCGGAGATAGGAATGATGGTACTCGGGGGACACGAGCTCAAAATCGAACGGTATGGCCTTGAACGTTGGGTATCCAGTTCCAACATCCACCATATGGATGCTGCCTTGAGAGGAAGCGTTGTGGACGAGAACCAGGGCGTGGCTGTCTTGGAAGCTGACATCGCACGTCACCAATGAGACGTCGAAACCCAGGGCGCGGAGGACGGCCAAGGTACTCAGAGAGTGATCATAGCAGAGACCGCCAATCTTAGAGAACAGATCCTTCTTGATCTCGGCGAAAGATGGGAGATGACGTTCGGGGTGGGGCACAGAGATTGCCCTGATGGACTGGAAGGGAATGTGATGGATCCATGCCATTGTCAGTTCGTCCAAGAAAGCTATCCGATTATTGTGAATTTGGTCTTTCGTAGTCTCCATACCAAGAACATCTCGCAAGAAGATGAGCGCCTCATCGGTTGTCATGGAAACTTCGTCTGACATCTTGGAGATTAAATGAGCCAGCAATTAGGAGGCTCAGATTAGTTGAGGTTGGTGGAACAGCTGGGCAAATCTGAAAATAGGTGTAATACAAGATCAGAAAACTTCTATTAATTGGCTCTAGTTTGCATGCACAAACTCTATGGGGCGTTGCAAGAAGGGTTGGGATATCATTGATTGCAAGTTGCAAAATTTGCAACTGATATTTGCAATCGCTTGCATTTGTTGCAACTCCCCATTAGTCTCCTTATTTCCTAGGATTTTGTTAAGATTAAAGTTTTAACAATTTAATTAACTACATCTGACTTGTATGCCCTCTCTCTCTCTCTCTCTCTCTCTCTTTGCCTCTCTCTTTCTTTTACTAATGGGGCGTTGCAAGAAAGTTGAGTTGCGAACAATTGCAAATTTGCAATTAGTCGCAGGACTTACGTACGCTTGATTTGCGGGATTTGCAATTGATTGTTTGTGACGTATAGTGCATAATAATATGGTCTGAACTTAGAGTTCATTTGCATGTGCCATAAAAAGAATATACACCCTATATTTAGACACAGACATTGTGGAGCTCGCTTAGGCTTCACTCAAGACACGGAAATTACTTTGTTAAAGTGACAAAGTAGACTCTGTTTTGACACAACCTGTAAAAGCTTTGACAGACCCTTAGCCATGCTAGCTGCGCGTTACATAATCATCATAATCATCAACGACGCATTCATGAGCCGGCCCTAGTTTTTCTATTCAGTATATGCAAACATTATTTTAATAATGTGTATTTTCTTCGGTTAGCTTGTTAACATTATACAGATCACAACCTTAAATATAATTACATTGATGCAGTAGTTTTGTCGTCTCGACAAAACCGAAGTGTATTTTACAGTGTCATATATAAGCAATGGCTTAAAAGGTAACGATCCATCCATTCATCACTGCGATATTGTAGTCTTTAATCTAACCAACCTACCGGTAGGGCCTATTCCTTATGAAATACATCAAAATCCCGACAATCATTGTTTCCGAGTTAAAAGCAAATTGATATGGCTTACCTTAATTGATAACTTTTGTTTCCACTCCAGATTAAAATTGTTCTTATCAATCTCATGTATACGTCTCACCTCCCTGTTCTGATGCAGAGCTGCACATGTAATTCATATGACTGCAAAATATAAAAGAAGGAGAACAAAGTCCATTTTTACTTCCCTGACCAGTGGCGTAGACAGGTTCGTACACCTGGGGGGATGACTCAGGGGCGGATCTAGCTTTTTGCTAAGGGGGGTTGACCAAAATAATAACGATGCGGAGCATCGTCCACGAGCCGCGAAGCGGCGGGCCGATTTTTTGGGGGGTGTTTATTTGAACCCCGTAAGTGATGTTTTCCTGGCATCTATTAACACAATGGAGACCATAAAAAGCAGTGCATGATAACGTCTTTTTAAATCAAGTAACAGTTAAATACATAGTTATATCCAGAGTTATCATGTGTTTGGTTAAGTTACCAGATGAGTTGAATATCTTCTCACAATATTTGCACTTGAAAGGGTTTCTCTCCAGCGTGCGTTCTTTTTTTTTTTTTTTTTTTTTTTTTTTTTTTCCCCCTTTTTTTTTGTTTGTTTTTTTTGGGCCGCCCAAAGGGGGGGGGGGGTTTAAACCCCTAACCCCCCCCCCCCCCGTAGATCCGCGCCAGTTTAATCTTGTGGTTATCTTGTGGTTTCCAAACCACAAGATAACCACAAAATACTTGTAAGATTTTCTTTTTTTACCGTCTGAATTGGCTTTCACCGTGTGAATGCGGCTAATAACAATAAACACAATAATGATGAGGATTATTATTATCATCATCAAAATTATTATTATTATTAATATTATAATTGTTATCATTATTATTATTACTATTATTATCATCATTATGACTTGTTAAGTAAGCAAATATCATTCCCCAAAACCTGGGGGATGATTGTACATGCCATCCCCCCACCTTGTGAGGTGGGGGGATGCATCCCCCTCATCCCCCCCGTTGTCTACGCCCCTGTCCCTGACCCATATTGTCAGTATTCTAGAATTGCATTGAACAGGTTCAATCAAAGTACAAACAATCCTTCATATTGTTTACTATCTCGTTATTTCCCGGTTATCAACGAGCTCTCCAAAAGAGGGTGTGCGATTTTCAGGACTTTGCCATTTTATGTGCGATCATAATACAATTTAGAACAAAGTCAATTCTTTTTTCTCCTTGACCCGTAATGTCAGTATTCTAGGATTGCATTGAACAAGTACAATCAAAGTACAAACAAACTTTCCCATTGTGTACTATCTCGTTAGGTCTAAGTTAACAAGGGGCTCTCTAAAAGGGTATGTGTAATTTTCAGGACTTTACCAATTTTATGTGCGAGTATTTTGGAATTTAGAACAAAGCTATTTAGGCATGCATGTGGCACTCCAATGTACAGTGTAGGTCCCTTTCCAGGTGCTTATTTTTTCAGCATCCAAATAAAAACTATATTAGTCGTCAGCGAGCTGCGCCTGTCGCAGAGGCGGCGCTCCCGGGGGGCAGGAGGGGGCACAGTGCCCTCTCTTTTTTAAGTACCCCAAAAGTGCCCCTTTTATTTTGACACGTCCCCCTTTTCCTTCCTAATAAATGAATATTTTCCTTCTTTTAAGTGCCCCTTCCCCTTCTTATAATTTTACCTTTTCATCTTTGACGAGTGCCCCGTTTATTTCAACATGTGCCTCTTTTCTTTGTAATAAAAGTCACTCACCTCTTCCCACAAAAGCCCCCTTTCCCCTCCGATCAGGGGCGTACGCAGGGGGGGGGGTTTGGGGGTTCAAACCCCCCTTTGGTATTTTTTATGTATGTAAACCCCCCTAAAAAAAACTAAAACCCCCCCCCCCCTTTTTTTTTTTTTTTTTTTTTTTTTTTTATAAAAAAAAAAAAAAAAAAAAATTATGCCCACGGCTAACGTAAAGTGACCTTACCCCCCCCCCCAACGAAAAAATGTCAAATTTTCAAATTTCGAGACCAAAAAAAAAAAAAAGTCTCCGCTTACCCCCCCCCCCCCCCCCCCCCCCCCCCCCCCCCCCCCCCCCCCCCCCCCCCCCCCCCCCCCCCCCCCCCCCCCCCCCCCCCCCCACTGAGCGACTTTTCGGTTGGCTGAGTCTTTGCAAATTTTTTTTGGACTACCAAAAAAAAAAAAAAGTGTCCGCTTACCCCCCCCCCACTGAGCGACTTTTCGGCCGGCGCGATTTTCAAATTTTCGGGAGCAAAATATTTTGGGCCAGATTTTAAACCCCCCCCCCCTTGAAAAAATCCTGCGTACGCCCCTGCCTCCGATAATGCCCATATTATAATCTGATCGGTGCCCCTTTTCTTTCAACAAATGCACATTTCCCTTTATCATTAGTGTCCCTTTTTCATTTCAATAAGTGCCTCTTTTCATGTATGGCCAGTGCCCCTTTTCACCTCTGATTATTACCATTTCAAAAATGATATGTGCTCCTTTTTCCTTTCTAATAATGAACCTTCCCTTGTTCATAAATGCCCCTTTTCACTTCTTATAAATGCCCCTATCAAAATCTGATGGGTGCCTCTTTTTCGTCGACGAATTCCCATTTCCCATTCGCATAAAATCCCTTTTCATCCCTGGTGCGTGCCTCTTTTTTTTTAGGTGTAAACAGTGCCCCATTTTCACCTTGATAATTAGCCTTTGTACTTTGACACATGCTTCTTTTCTTTTCTAATAAGTGTCTTAACTCTTTCGATAAGTATTGTATAGTTTCGCCTTTGAGATTTCCCTTTGAAGGTGCCCTTTCCCCCAGAAAGTGCCCTTTTTTGTGAGTGCCCCCCCCCCCCCCCACTTTGGAAGTCGCTCCGCCGGCTCTGACTTTCAACTGAATGTCGCAGTTATATACTGTACAGTCCAAGTTGAGGGACCAGGCTTGGCATTCACTTTATATTATACAATTGTCAGTTCAATGTGAGTTGTAATTTTAAATTATAAAAATGTCAAATTAAAACACATCAAATCAAAACACATTTTCCTTCAAAATCTGGTTACATTTGTCCAATGTCAACATACTTAACTGATTATTTCATTCAATTCAACTAATTTTTTTTAATTATGAAGGCTGTAGAAAAAAATAATGACAAAGAAGATCCTTAATACATTCAAAATGTATCAGTATACCCTTTATTGATGTTACTTCCAGATAACGTTTACATCATCATTATCAGCATCTTAATAATGAAACACATATATATGTCACAGCAAAATCTAATTTTGATATAGTCTCTGCAAATTAAAATACATTAAGATAAATCTATACAATATGTCTTAGTATTTTGCATGTGATATATTCTCTGCAAATTAAGATACATTACCATAAATCCATTCAACTTGTCTTAATTCATGCATTACATTTTATATTTCAAAGCAGCAGCAATTTTTTTTATTTTCCATAGGTACTGTACATATTTGTAATAGTAAGAATAACAGAGGTTACAATATTAGAAGAAAAATAATTTGTCACTGACAATTTTGCCTCTGATATTGGACCTTGAAAACTTGGCAACATTCTTAAAAATAGGTCCTATATCTGAGTCTCTTGAAAGAATTTGGCACTTGGCAATTACCAAAATATACTATCAAATTACTGCAAATATGGTTGAAAAAGTAAAACTATATCTTGTATGACTTGGAATTTGGATAATAACAATGATAACAATAATAACGATAATAATAATACTGATATTAATAATAGTGATGTAGTAGTAATGGTTTAGTGAAATAAAAATCAATCGGGGCTCGAAAGCCGAATTACAGGATTTGTACAATAGTAAAAGCAAACTTCAAAATTACAGGAAACAAAATAGGTAATACCATGTAATAATTAAAGCAATGAGATCATAATGACAAAGATTAAGTACAAATAGCAGAAATTATTTTCTTACAGGCAGTGCCAGTTAGCACTAATATCAATTATATTAAAAATAAAAATGATAATAATATTACTAATAATAGCACATTTTATCACTATATTATATATACCAGTTATATTTCAATACAGTCCTGCATTCTTACTTTTACACAATGCTCTCATTTCCTATTCTGTTTACATTTCAAGAACATCTACAATGTCCAATGTGTTTCACACATAGAAATCCACTGAAGATATGCAGAAATGATCAGTTAGGTATAGTCAATATACATGCAGCATGTAGTTTGTATATTCACCAACATAATGTAAGTTGTACATTACACACTGCAAGGACGGTTGCAAACAGATTTGCTTAGTCTTTTTCATTAATTCAGCGATTTATTCAAAACAGTTTGTCAAGGTTCACTCTGTGAAGTGGTCATGAATCCTCATATTCTAAAATCCAGTAAACTTTAAAAAAAAGAAAAATAAGAAGATAAATTACTTAATTATAACATAATTAGGATAAATTTTGTGAAATCATGTCACCTCAAAAAAGAAATTAAAAAAAAAAACACACAAAACAACACCCCCCCCCCCCTCTCCCCCAAACAAAGAAAAACAGCAGTAATACAACATAAATTACTTTTCATCAACAAGAAAGAAAAAAATATGTAAAATAAGATGCGAAGCCCCACACCAATTGTCATTGAATGAGCAATTCTTCTTTAAAAGTTCTTCAAAAAAAAATTATATTTCCATATTATTGGTAGCCTGTGATTACATAAACTTCATCTTGTTTCTTTACAATCAAGCTGCAGAAGAAGCAGCTGATGCCCAAACCTAAAAGTTTGACGAAAGAAAAAAGCACCAGTAATCACTTCATGATTGCATTTACCCCATTAATATTTTTAGAAATAATATTCTGAACTTTAATACATATATACTGCATATGAATAAGTACCGAGTATATTGACATAAGCTGACTTTGAATTGGGAAGACATTTTAGACAGAATAATGCAAGCAAAATTATGCAAACACTAAGATTGTGGAAATAGAAAGCAATCTTTGTCATTACTTGAATGGAAGTGTAACATCATTTCAAGAACGGTACATTTTACATGACTGTCACATTTCATATTTTCTACATGGAATAAGGAAAATAAAAATGACTTTTAAGGTTACCTTGCCTTTATAATAAGGAAAGTAATGCTATAATAATGGTAGTAGGTTCCCTATAGTGCATACATCAATCACACACCACCTTTTATTCCACATTCAAACCTGTCCAAGGTATTTCTGCCAACATGTATCACAAGCTCTACTTAAACTTGCATTACAAAAGTAATTTCACATATCCTCCCTCCACCACAAATTATTCTTCCGTCTTCAGATCACCGCATGTCATGCGTACATTCTGGACAGTGGCTGGTGCGTTGAACTTGAAGACACCACCCAAGCCATTGTCAGAGCGAGAACTCGTGAGGGCGTGCTTGATGGCAAAAAATACAGAAGCCCCAATGAAGAACGGCGGTTCTCCGATACCCTGTAAATAGAAAGTAGAATTTACTTATTAATCCATTGTCTTCAGATACCTGTCATTCCCAAGGGATTAAAACAAGGCAACTTGTAGTTGGAAATAATTAAGAGTTTAATGAAAGCTCATCACTGAAATTCAGTATTGCAGAAACCAGCAAGAGGTTTTGGGGAAACATTTCTCTGCCTACTTTAAAATCTCCATTACTATCAATTTCAATATTCATCTAAGTACACAGAATATTTCCTAAGCCTAGATGAGTCTGGCAGTCATCTCATGGACAAAGTGTCTGTTCCAGTGACGAGATTGAAATGAAATTTCATCCCTTTCCTGACCCGACTTTAAAATGGACTCAGTAAATCATCACGTGCCAAGCAGAATAGAGAACATGGATGCTAGGAAGATGGATGTGCATTTCAAGAAAGGCACATCCTATCAACTCTTTGAATACATCTACACAAAAAATATCAGTATGCATATTATTCATGTTGTTGAAGATAAAGCTCAACTCTGGTCATGTTACTATTGCATTATGAAAGAAACGTTGTGGAATCGATCAGAAAAGGTTGATCATCTAGCATATAAGTATTGGTGTGTACTGCAAGGTTCTGGAATCATCAAAATGATAAGAAATTTGGCCCAGTCTTGGTAAAGTTACAAGCAATGTACACAGAAAGATATATATAGGATTCCGCGACACATGCGCAATATCTATCAGGTCCAAATAGATATAATAATTTACCAAATATATCAATTAGTAGGCGGCTTCTCGGATAAATTTGTATCATCACGTATTAGTCAAAACATATTCTTTCACATGATTGGTAATAAGAGCTTCCATTTCATTTTTTGAGAGGGGGGCGTTTCCAAAACTGGTCTTAACCTTTAACAGTTATATTATTATTCCAGCAATCAAAACTAAACAGTTTCAAAAGTTGACCCAAACTTGCTTTTGCATCCTGCTGCCAAGTTTTTTGTTTGTTTTACCTTAGAGGAGTAGAGATGATCTTCAGGGGTGCGCATGTTTCTCAGGAGGGTCACGTTGAACTCCTTTGGAATGTCCTTAGCTGATGGGATCTTGTAGGAGTCAGGGCTGTCGGTGGTTAGGGCGCCCTCTTGGTTGAATCTTTTCTCCTCCATGGTGAAGTAGCCATAGCCCTGGAGGAAGCCTCCTTCAATCTTTTATAGAGAGAGAGATGAAGAAAGAGATCACATAGATGTCATCAAATTATAGGGCACAGTCTAGCTTGACTAATAGTCTGGACTTTACTCAATATAAACCAATAACAATTCGTCCCTATTTTCACGAAGTGACGGTAGTGAGGAAAATCGTAACACAAAGTGAATGCGATTTTTATTCACTACCGTCACTTCGTGAAAATAGGGACGAATTGACAGAAGTATAAGAAAGTCCATTCTTGTGCTTGTCCGTGTGTTTTGAATTCAACATAACATACCGATACATATTTACATTACGTGAAGAGTTGAAGTTAGTGTATTGCATTTAATCAAATATTTACCGGTAAAAACAAAAAAATTAATATACATATGACTTTCAATGCGGCAGATATTCATTTTAAAAAGCGGATATCTGTATTTGTATTTAAACCTAGAGCTAAAAGCTATAAGCAAAATCCAGAACTCCCCAGAATTAATCGTTTGTTTTGTGTATTTTGTGATTCCATGCTTCGTCGTAAATAATACTTGTAGATTAATCTGGGAGAACCCATTCCTTAACCCCCATCTGCTCTATTGTCTGATATGCATCTTAAAGGCTCATAAAAATAAGGCACAGTAAACTGCAGAAAAAAAATCACTTTTTCTTCTTCACATGTTAAATGAATGGCAAATGCTCTCAACAAAGGACTCGCCCATGTTCACTAATCTCTGTATTATAAGATAGAGAAATGTGAAGCGTAATTACAAATTGTGTCATCATTAATAAACCGCCACGGTTTTGCCGCTTCATATCTGAAGTTCTAAACGAGGCTTAAAGGTGGTATTGGGCTTCCAGGTAAAACTGGAGAAACTCATTTATTACAAATAAAAATATACAAATATACTTGCATACAAATCTTATGTTCCACTATCATTACTTGTGATTAATCTGAACTCATTTCTGTTGCAGGACTTTTAACTAAAATTCACAATTACAAGTGCATCCCTACCTGGCCTATGTCTATGGCTGGGTTGATGCTTTTGCCAACGTCCATGACGATATCGGTTCGTAGTAACTGATGCTCTCCGGTGAGGCAGTCAATCTCCACCTCCGACACACCGGCCCCCATGGTGAAGTAGAAGTATGGGTTACCGGTCAGGGTACTCCAGTCAAAGGGTGAGAAAGGCCTCCTAGACAATGGGAAGAGTGGTGAAAAGAGTAGATTTACAAAGACAACAGCTTTATAAACCAACATCATTAACAACAACTACATAACCACCACCATCAAGAATTACAAAACCAACAAAACCACATCCATCAACAACTACAAAACCAACATCACCACTACCATCAACAACAACTACAAAACCAACATCACCACTACCATCATCAACAACTACAAAACCAACATCACCACTACCATCATCAACAACTACAAAACCAACATCACCACTACCATTATCAACAACTACAAAACCAACAAAACCACTACCATCAACAACAACTACAAAACCAACAAAACCACATCCATCAACAACTACAAAACCAACATCACCACTACCATCAACAACAACTACAACAACCAACATCTGTATGGAACAGTCTATCTAGAAATTTTATTCTGAGTTCCACAAGGATAAATACAGGTGAATCAAGAGCTCACATAGGGCCATTTTCCTCTGTCGAGCAATAATTTTTTTATTCAAAGGTAAATTTTTACCTTGTAAAGTAGATACTTGGGAGACAAATTGAAGAATGCACAAAGGCTTGTTTACTATTGAAACAGCCATGTCTTCAAGTTGGAATTCAGGTTAAAGATAAAGTTGAGTTCTGGTCATGCGATTGCATTATGAAAGAAAGGTTGTGGAATCGATCAGAAATGGTTGAACATCTGGCATATAAGTATTGGTGTGTACTGCAAGGTTCTGGAATCATCAAAATGATGAGAAATTTGGCCCAGTTTTGGTACAGTTACAAGCACTGTACACAGAAAGATGTACTGGTATATGGGACTACACGAACATGTGGCATGAAACTCTGTCCTGACTTTTATGATGTTACAGCTAGGCCATATTTAGAATATTGAGGCATTTGAAGAGCCATACTTTTCAGGGAACATTTTTTACCTGATGTTCTTCCACACTTGCATAATACAATGATAACGCTCAAAAATTATTTTTCACCTTTTTCAAGGACTCAACCTTCTCTTTTAAGCTTTGATTCAACATTGACTCCTGTAACATTAAATCTAGGCTTACATGTACTAATCTTGTCAAGGAGAGAAGGTTATAGTTTGATGGGGTTTCAGCATATGAGTTCTTCTATTAATCTCCAACTAGCCTTCCAGCAAATGTAGTGTACGCTAAAAATTATTTTATCTACCCTGCACCGCTTGGAATCTTTAGGGCATCTTTGTGATATGTTGCATCTAGCCCTTTGAAGATTGCCAGAAGAAGAAGAAGAAGAATGGACTTACTTGTAAAAGCCTGTAGTGGACAGGCTAACTCGATCATTATAGGCTGCACTGACCTGTAAAGAGGAATACAAAATCAATAAAACTTTACTTGTGATTTACTGGAAACTTGATCCCTCACAATTAAGATCAATGATAATTTATATAAATCAAACTTGTAAAGAATGTAAAATAACCTACATTTACAATTAAATCAATACAGGGGTCCAATCATCAAAATTTTTAATCTGCACTTGCATGATTTGAGTTTCAAAGTGGTGTACTATACTAAAAACATCACTCTGTATGCTCCACTTTCTTTAATCCAGTTGAACAACTATATGGGGGGGGGGGGGGGGGTGGGGGTGTAAGTTCATTTCTTTTCTGATATTATGGGGGATTAAAGAGTCTCACTTGAATTCTAATAATCATAAGTATAAGAGAAAAAGTTCCTTACCCAATCTTCCCATGTACCTTTAGGGTTGGCTGTTTGGTATGGCTCAAGGCGCTCCTTTAAGATATCGCAGGCTATCTAAAATGAGGAATAGAAGGGAAATCAAACCTTTGTAGTAAACTAATCTAAAATAATCAGAGAAGCAGATCAATCAAATTTTGAATGATATTTGACCCAAAATGAGAAAGTTATGAATTTTTCAAATTTGTAATCACTATATGTATAGGCACTTCAAATTGGCTGAATTGTTGGCGTCACTGTCACGAAGTAGGAGAGCAGTCTGTGAATATTTCACAATCAAATGACCAAATTGCTATTCGCATACATTCAGTAATCCCACAATTTCTGACCCTCATAACTTTCTTATTATTGGTCAGATTTGTTTCAAACTTTCACCCTTTGATTTCTCTTATTTCTCTGCTTTCATACAAATGAATGATTACATGGTTTGATTGCCCTTCAATAAGCCTGTGTGTAGGGTAAACAGGACAAGTAGAGCATTTCTTAGAAGCATTTTGATCATCTTCAATGCACAAATAAACATCCTTTAGAAGAAAAAAATTCTTCTTCAAACACTTGTACAGGTGTGTAGGTTTGAAATACAGTAAACTGGCATAATGATAATAACAACTGTAAAGCCCAAAGAAGCATTTGCATCATAAATTTTTTTAATACATAACAATTAATACAAAATAATCTTTAATCCCAGTATTAATGGTTAGAGGGCATTACAAAAAAAAGTTTAAGATGTTGATTTCAAGACAGGACAGAAGGTAAAAAGAGATGATACAGAGAAAGAGAGAGAGAGAGAGAAAAAAAATGGGAAGAAGGATGGAGAAAAGGGGCTAATGTGAGGAGAGAGAAAAATGTGAGAGAAAGGATGGGGAAAGAGGGTGAGAGAGATAGAGAATGGCAAAGGTGAGAAGCGATGAGTAAGAAATGCTAAAGAATGATGAGAGAAAGGAGAACTAGTAAAGTTTACATATTTACCTTAACAGCAGTACCATGTAAATCGGTGCCAGTGCTTCCACCTGTTACTGTTGTATTAGGCACCTTATCCACAGCTGTAGGACTGGTATGAATCTTACTCACAGGTACATCTAGCGCTCTGCTTGCAACCTCAAGGTCAAACATCAAAATAACTGATCAATTAGTGTTTTGTCCATGATGGCTTGGTATTATGATCCTGAGAAAAACTGCCTGTTAATTTGTTGTGTAACAATTGCTGTGTAACAATTCACAATGGATCTGCCCAAAAAGTAATGCTGCCACATTTGCCCGGCTACAATTCTCTGGGCTATATTTCATTAAAAATACAGGATTGTGATTATTGGGTTTCAGGTTAGGTTTAGGGTTAGGGTTGGGTGTAGTGTTCGGTTCAGGACTGAAGTTAGGAAGTAGTTTACTGTAGGGTATTTGCTGCAGAGCAAATGCTGCCTGAGTATGTGTAGTACAACCTAGCAAGTTTAACACTCTTCTATAATAGTTTCTTAGACATTTCTTGGAATGAAGGTGACTTGAAGAAAATTCATGATGAATTTGGTCTTGAATGCACCGAGAGAACAAGAGAATTTTGATTAACATCTATGACAGTCACCTTGATTCTGGAATGGAGGTAATATCATACGAGAGTGCAAAGAAAACCAGATATTGAATGGAAAGAAAAAAACAAGGTAAAGAGAAGCAGGAGCCAGCATATCAAACATATGGGTCCCCTTATGAGGCTGGAAATACAACAGAAGTATCAGCCCCCCCCAAAAAAAACACCTGACTACATACCTGGATAAGTTTAGTGTAGAGGCCCTGCCCCATCTCAATGCCGGCATGGTTGACCAAGACCGATCCGTCGGTGTAAATGTGAACCAGGGCTGCTCCCTGTGTAACATGAATTAAATGTATTGCCAATTACCGTATACCAATTATGAGTACTCAGCAACATTGGGTGATAGTACGACTTACTGTAGGTGTCACGATTATGTAATGTAGCCCTCTGTAGATGCTTTGTGTGTATGCTTAACTTTATGAATGAGACTTATAAAGTCACCATGGAACTGCAAACTCGCCTGGTGTTTCAAAGGGAAGCTTCATTTTGTTAAAACCTTTTTAAAGAAATTGTTGTGAATTGTTAGCATGAAACTAACACTGTAGTAATAGTAGACCAGCCAGTGTTTTAATATAATGATAAAATTGACTATTTCCCCACCCTTTGTTACCATCACTGTCTGATGCCAAAATTGCTAGCATGGGTACCGTATTTGCTGGCGTAAACGCTGCAGCATTTTTGGAAGAGAAAATATCAAAAAGTCGGGGTGCGGCGTTTACGGCGAAAGAGTAAAAAAAAAAAAAAAGTAAGTCAAAACCAGCACGAATTTGCACATATGGGACTACGAAAGGTACAATAACTATACCACTATGGTACAGGACATTTCCACACATCTTACCGACAATTTTATCTTGCATTGTTGACATGAAGACGAAAATAATCTTCCAAAAACAACATCTGCCGATAGATCTTGATCTAAGTTCGTGCCAATGCATTGCAAAAGTAAAAGAAGGGCCCGTTTAAAGGAGCTGCCGTGAAGCATCCAGCACGCCAAGTCGCCATTTTCATTCCATTTCAATGTATACATCAGAGAAAACTGCATTGATGGCATTAGAGTCGGGATAGCCGAGCGGTCTAAGGCCCTGGTTACGAGTCCCAATCCACATGTGTTCGCAAGAGATCGAATCCCACCTTTTTTTTAAATGTCAAAATCGGGGGTGTGGCCTATGTGGCGGTGCAGCCTTATCGCCGGCAAATACGGTATACAAAAAAATCAACAACCCACCTGATTGAGGCTCATAAGACCAAATATTCCGATTCCATGTTTGGTGGGGACGATGGAAAGACCGCGCTTCTTCCAAGTATTCACCCTGAAATGAATTGAAAAAGTGATACATGGATGGAGTGATGGAAGAATTCAGGCTTGTTGAGATATAGCGCGGTAAACTGCCTCATTACAAAAAAATCCCACAGATTTTGTTATGGGTATATGAATGCCAACTGCCCACAACAAAGGTCCTTCGCATATTCACCAAGCTCTTTAAAGATATGGAAATGTGACAAGTACAACACTTCAAGTCATTTTTAAGACATTCCTTGGTGTTGCTGCATCCTATCTGAACAAGGCCTTAAAGGGATCGTTTAACAGTGGTAAATATGAGATACACGGCCCTACATGTTATCAGTGTCTGTGATATGGTGTAATATTGAAGCCCTAAAAAATGATCAAGAAGTGCCTCAAAAAAGTAAAAATCTTTGAGTGACCGGTTTTACCATACTCGTTTTCCCCAATAGACTGTAGTGTTTTCAAAATTTGTAATTCCAATAATAAATATCTTGATAATCAGACAGGCGATTGGCTTGTAAAAGTCATGGGGTTCCTGACTGACCTAAAGGTTTATAATTATCATTGCATCATGAGCTAAATCCAGAATTTTATTTCAGAATCTGAGACAAAGTTACCGGATCCCTTTAATCAGTCATGAAAAACTTCAGATGTTTGCAATCCTTGACACAGAGCTGCAGCACTGACAAAGTCAAAGTAAGAAACTGAAAGCAAGCTGTACAAAAAACCTCTCCTCAATGATAATTTTCTCCACTACTCGTCTACTGTTAATTACTTAATTATTCCTAATCAATTGAGTTCTGTGTTTGAAGATTGAGTATTCATACTACATACAATAAATAGAAGCATACTTTTAATAGGCAAAAAAGCTAAAAAAGTCAAAAAACTACATGAGCCTGTTTTGTGGTCAGGTTTGAAACCCAAAGTATTTGAATTACTCAAGTTTATTCAGCGCGAGAGCATCTGAGTGAATTATGGAGAGCACAGTCACCTATTGAACTGCTCCACTGCATTCAGTCTTTTCTCATAGTCACTCAGTTGGAGACACCTATCCCAGCATTCCTTAAAGATGTCCATTTCCATGGGATTCGCGCCCTCTATCATCAACGCTCCATCAGGTTTGAAGTTGAGCTCTTGCACCTTGTGAGCGAGATGAAAAAAATTGTGAGAAAATTGTTTTTCTCATGACAAGAATGGTTTATGACAAATTAAAAGGAGACTGTATTGAAGAAGAGAGGATTTGAATCCTTGATCAGAATACAACTGTAGTACACAAAGATACTTTAATTCATAATGGATTTCTTAGGGCCAATATAATGTCATTCATTTGTGGTTTTATATATTTTGTATAGATAGTTTGAATAGCATTGTACGTCTCCAACAGAACGTATTACTCGATACTCTAGTCATTATCAATCAGGAGTCATGGCTAATTATTCAGCAATTTCATAGATTCTACAACATTCATTGGTGGAAATGATGATAGCTATTCCTTGAGGGTAGTCAAAGTCCCTTATAACTGCTTTGAAATCAAGCTTAGGATCGGTCTAGAGGTTTCCTCTCTATTCTGCTTAAATCAAGCTCCTTTCTGTTGTAATAGAATTGATGCTTATTAATGTTAATGTCTAGGGAAAATGAGCATTTCAATCTTTTCTTAGCAACACATACATATGGTAAAATGTGTAAATTGGCAACATTTTGCTGCATTTGATAATAAAGGCTCACTATAAATACACAATGTTTTTGAATAAGCGACAGAACAATTTGTTGTTGTCAATTTGGAGAAGCAAAGCAGATAATTTACTGGTACAGTCAAACCTGTCTATAGTGACTGCCCAAGGGAAACACAAAAGTGGTCTTTGTAGACAGGTTCCTTTATTACATTTTTCAATGAGAAACCTTTTTCAAGGGAAACAAAAAATGTGGTCTTTATAGACAGGTGGTCACTAAAGCAGGTTTGACTGTACCCTGTTGGAAAACTCATCTCCTTGATGGGTTAAAAAAAAGGCTACATGGGCTTACCTTCCTCGACGAGACACCCGTCGCAATCGCTACTTCTGACAAGATCTGCTCCATGATAGCCAATGACTGTGGGGCACCAAAGCCCCTCATAGCTGTGTTAGACGGCATGTTTGTTCGACAGCAGTGGCCTTTCACTCGGAAACCAGGGAAGCTGTAAAAACCCTCAAATACAAGCATACTTTGGCGCACAACCTGAAAGTATGAGAAATATGGAGATGGAAGGCACCAATATCAAGAGTTGCCAGTATAAGTGAATAACTCATGTTTTTAACATACTGTGTTCTTCAACTTGACAAAGATTCTTCTGAATTGTATAGCTGGGAATACTGGTGAAGCATTTTGTACTAGGTGCTGTTTAACATAGAAATATGTTGCACAGAAAGTAAAAAGATTCATTCAAGAATCAAATTTGAAAAATCTTCTAGTGCAGGTATTTCCATGAGCGGAACTGGATTTTAAAAATTCTTATCACAAAATATCCATTAAAATACTAATACTCAAATACTAACATACCATAATAGTACTCCACCGTTTAAGGTAAAGACCAGTTTTGGAAATGCCCCCCTCTCAAAAGAAGCTCAGTCTTACCAATCATGTCAAAGAACATGTTTTTAACTAATACGTGGTGATACACATTTTGCCGAGAAACCTCCTACTAAACTTACAATAACTCTTTAGGCGAGGCGTCAAAAATAAATATACCAGCCAGCGGCAGCTAACTGCACTTGTGCGTCCTGGCTGCATTTTTTAAATTAGCTCAGCCGGCTACCGCTGGCGGTAGGAAATGGCATTCAAAAGCATGCGCCGGCTGCCGCCTTTCGAATGGAAACCAAGCCTCAGATCCCAGCCTGGCGCAAGCCAGCTGGGCTAATAAGTGGAAAATAATTGCCCCAGCCAGGCTTCGGCCGTAATTGCAGCCTCGATGCGCCAATACGTGAGGCGGCAGCCTGCTGGTATCGATATTTTTGACGCCTCGCCTTATAGAAAAGTTATATTTTATACTTTGATTATTATATAGCGACATGAAACCCCTAACATCTCTAAACTTTCAACAACAGTAATGTGTAAAACTCATATTTTGATTAATGTACTTGGATACAAGAAACCTTAAACATACAGAGCAAAAAAAATTGTTTGGTGATGGTACCCTTTAAGTCAAAAGTATATTACCCAAGTAGTAGACTCATTACGATAGCCTCCATTAGCATAGAGATCTGCATCCAGAGCCAGGATACGGCCATCGCTACGGTAACCGACGCGATACTTTGCGTGGAATGGATGGCGTCCACCTGACATCAGCATGTCTGTGGAGCGGTCTAATCGGATGCGCACGGATCGGCCCAACCTGTAAACAGGAACAAATATGTATGTTTCTATGAAGATGGAGAAACAAACAAAGTTGGAGATACCCTAGAACAAATTTAATTTGGAAAATAGTGATCGGGAGTATTTTAACTTTTTTCTTAAAATGAGCATTGCACAGGTTTGTGAGCAGGTTGGTCTTGCGATCGGCGAGTAACATAAAATTTAGGATTGGGTGAGGGTAAGGGTTAGGGTTACGTAATGTATCATGGTGACTTTGGGGTTAAAGTTAGAAATACCTCCTGTGTAAGAAACTAACAACAGAGCAATTGTTGCCAGAACACAGTACCCACGCAAGTATTGACTTTCGAACAAAAAACATAGTATCTTTTGAAAGTATGAAGGGGGTTGACAACAGCGTTAAAGCCTTTGGACTCTGAACAGAAAACATACACAGTGTAGTACTCACATTTTGGCAGCTACAGCACATGCAGCATTGTGGGTGAGGAACTCTTCTTTTCCTCCAAAGGCCCCCCCGATCCTCTTGGCCTGAACAGCGATGCGATTACGAGGGACACCAAGAACTCTCGCAACAGCATTCTGGTTAATAATAATAATAATAATAACAATAGTGGGTTCTTGTTTAGCGCTCATGTCAGTCAGATTTGACCCTCCCGACGCTCCCCATTATTACCCTGGCTTTAGCACAGCTTCCATACGGCGCTCTAGCATTTCAAGGAATAAATTCCTACCAGGTACCCATTTACTTCACCTCGGTGGAGTGTGGCAAATGTAGATCAGTGTCTTGCTAAAGGACATTAGTGCGATGGCGGGACTCGAACCGCGGACCTTGTGATCAACAGTCCAGCGACGTATCCACTAGACCACAACACCTCTACACAAGCAGTGACTCGTTTCAAAATGATAATATTTTAACCCTTTGAATACTGATTACTCTCATTCTCACAGGTTTATATACATGGACCATGTGGTTCCTGTTGGCAAAGGGTTAAAAGGTGCTCCAGGCATTATTTTGAGAAAGATGGAAGGTTGAGGATACGGTTGCAAATTAGATTGTAGGTAAGGTAATAATATACTTATCTGTAAAGCGCTTTGTGAGGGCCTCCGGTCCTGAAAAGCGCTATATAAGAACGAGCTATTATTATTATTATTATTAAGGTGCAGGTTTTGGGTTAGATTTAGTTATAGCGTTTGGTCCAGGTTCGAAGTTAAGAACTTTGTAAATGTAGGAAAATAATAGCCGAGCAAACGTTTTCAGACCATGTGTCATACAACCTTTTGCATATCTCATAAAGTGCAGGGGAGGGTCACACAAGACGGGAAACCACAAACTGTCTGTTAAAAGGTTTCTGGTCCAGTTCTAGGATGCTGCTTACAGTCTGGTCCGACTACTGGAAATAATAAGCCAATTTCAGTTTTCCAGTCCAGGTCTAGTCATGTATTTTCTTTCCACACACCTAGCTTACAAGCTCTGTATTCATGAATACATGTGATAGATGAACAGGCAATGTAGAACAAACATCTACTCAATGCTCTTTCCCTTGAAAATTGTTCTCATTGCAGCTGCTTGTTCTCCTTATAACATTTTCTGCTGATCACCATTCTTATTTCTCCTCCTCAATTCTCCTATATCTCCTTCATTCATCTACTGAAGAAGGGGAGTGGGGATATTAAATTCAAATTCAAATTAAAAACACATTCATTTCTGTCTGGTATGAAATTATGATAACATCAATATTCGCTTTTGAATGAAATGAGGAAGAAGGTGAGATACCCTAAAACCATGAGGTCTGTGATAGGGTCACCATAACTTCACATATAACACGTTAACCACTGAATTCTTTAATTCCCATAGGCTTAATACAGAATCCACCCCGTTCCCACCGGAAATGGGTTAAGACATACATTACATAATAATATACTACAATAGTTTCATAGTTTCTTACGAGCATGTGAGGGTAACAAACATTAAAACTAATACTTCCGGTACAGCCTTTGGAGGTCGGAGGCATACAAGTAATCATTACCTGCACGTTTGTAATAGCTTGGGCAGAGGCATGGATGGTCATTTCATCGTCTTCACCGGGTCTCACAACACACATCTGAGTCTCCATGTAGAAGTGCTCCTGGCCTCCCACATCAAAGGTGCCTTCCAGGATCCCCTCAGACTGCTGGAAGCTCCCCTCCAGGTCACCATGGTGGAACTCAGAGTCGATGTCGGGTCCGCGGAAGATGGCATCTTCTTTGATCGCATCCTGAATTTGGTAAGGTACGGTTTAAGTATTAGCATTATACTATACCTCAAAGATGGAATAAGAATGGCCAATTAGTCCTATATGCGATTAGTCCTATGCATCATCACTTCACTACATCCTGGAACGGGTTAAGGACCCCTCTGTTTCCAATATGAATTCCTAAATTATTGTAAATGATTATAATTGATTTGCAATGTTTTGTTAGAAACAGAAATAAATTGAATTAAATTGAATTGGAAAAAAAGGAATGGTTTAAAGCCTTGCCTGGACTAAAAACCTCTGCAATGGTAGAGATTCATTAGAGTTACATCCAAGTCACACTGACAAGACCAACACCAGACTGACAACAGACTGCATGAGAACTAGCAGTACCTCATACAGCTAAGATTCACTCAGTTTGGAGTTGTTTGGAAGTGTGACTGAGGTATTACCAGCCAGCGCTCAAAATACACGGGGGCGGTGGGCGATTCGCCCCCGTGAGCTACATAATCGCCCCCGTCAGGTTGCTCACGGGGGCGATTGCAAAATAAAAAATCGCCCCCGTGGAATTATAATATAAAGATTTTCTTTTCTGGTATAACTTTAACACGATATTGAGTTTCAATTTTCAAATGAAATGGAATTTAGATTAGCGTGCAAGATTTCTCGTTCTATGAGTAGGCCTATTATTACCGATTCAGCTCACAGTGCAGTGCCGCCGTCAGCAGTGGTTATAGGCCTACTGCGCCCTTAGTAGCGGTACGTGTGCACGCTGCCGCGCTATGTCTGCTGGAGCTGGAGGCGATCGCGCAAGGGCAGAAACATGGTCATGGAGAAGTTTTTCGTTGTGAAAGCGTTAACCCGCTGAAATCTGGTGATTTCAAATGAATAGCAAATAATGAACCTCGACCAGTAAATCAATATTAGGGACCTTTAGATTTGCACGATGGGAACGTGGACTGAAACGTGTGACCTCCTTTTAAGGCAGTGCCAGTGCTTAAAAGGACGTGACATGTGACTGCCAGTGCCTTAAAAGGACGTAACACGTCCACGTCCACGCAAATCTAAAAGTCCCTATTGAGAAGAAGAGGAAGACCAAGATGTCGTGGAATGATATGGTAACATGGGCAGATCTACGGGGGGGGGGGGGGGGGGGGGGGGGGGGTTAGGGGTTTAACCCCCCTCCTCCCACCCCGGCCCCCTTGGGCTGCCAAGTGAAAATGTGATATTAAAGCGGGGGGGGGGGGGGGGGGGGGGGTGGTGCTGGAGAGGAGGACTACTAATCTATTTTATTTTTTTCATGGGGGGGGGGGGGGAGTGAAGCGCCGTTTTAGCATGACTTTCTTTTTAACTCTTACTTTCACCTATCTCAGATAACCCTAAGTTTTTGGTTGCTGCTTTATATGTAGTTGATAATGCATGATTAAAGTAAAGAGAGAGAGAGAGAACCACCATCATTTTGCAATGGTTCAGGGTTCGTGTAATGTACATTTGAAACCATTTCTTAGCGTCTCAACCCTAACAAAATGGCAAAACTATTTTTGAGGAAAAGCATTATACTGAATTAAATAAAGAATAATAGCTTTATATTGCATGATACTAATACTGATACGGGCTAAAGACAATGTGGTATTTGTTTAGAGGTATTCCAAAATGACATTCTGATAATCAACATTTGTTCTGGTATCATAATGTATATACGCATAATACAACTGATCTTTATGATTTCTTAACGTGACATAGCTTCTTTTCCCCTGCAAACAAAAAAGAAAACAAGGTTATTTAATAAAAGGATCATGCGACAAATAATCATTGTGATTCAAATTGATGCAAGGATTTTTTTTGAATAAGCAATGCTTTTCACCAGAATCTTCTTTGTAAAAACGACTTTTACAAATCTCAGCCATGCAAATCTGCCACTGTGTTGTAAGATCACTTTCAGATTAGGAGAAGTGTATTCTTTAATGAGTATTTTACATTGAATGGAACGTCTCAACTCAGTAAGCATGACTGAGATTTGTAAAAGTTGTTTTTACAAAGAAGATTCGGGTGAATAGCAGTGCTTATTCAAACAAATATTCGCATCAATTTGAATCACAATCATTATTTGTCGCTTAATCCCTTTTAATGACCTTGTTTTCTTTCTCGTTTGCAAGGGGAGAAGAAGATATGTCACGTTAAAGACATCATAAAGATCAGTGTTGTATGCGTATATATTATATACACAGGCCAGTAACAGCTATGTAGCTTGTAAATTTGTAAGAGGGAAAATGCTGATTGGAATGATAATGATGAAATAGCAAATAATTGAGGAGTATCATAGGTACCAATTCAATGGATATTTGTATAAAAAAGAGCCCCGTCAGTACTAAAAGAGCCCCCGTGAGAAGGCTCACGGGGGCTCTTTTTTTGGGGGGGGGGGGGGGAAGAGCCCCGTGGACAAAAAATTAATTTGAGCCCTGTTACCAGCGTAGAGAGGAGTACACCAATTAGTCCTACACACTACTATACTGCTGGTTCATTGCATCCTGAAGCAGGTTAAGGTATTGTCCGAAGCCTCACTAAAACTAGGATAAGAAGTTGACTTGATGGGAGATAATAAACATTGATCAAGCATGGTACAGCTCTTCAGATAGTGCTTATTATTATCACTTTTTCAGTGAATGTCTGACATAAGATAGGAAAATTAAGAATGATATAAATATATACATTTACTTTCCACACCAAATATATTGGGGTTTGTGACTCCAGCAGTTGTATGATACATGCTCTAGCAAAAATTGCTTAAGTTCAATATCCTACACTATTCAAATTTTTGACTTCATATCTGTACCAAACATTATACCCTAACCCTTACCCTATGATGGTATCCTTAAACATAACTTAATATCTCATTGCAGCCCTTACCCTAACCCTATATCTTTGATGTAAAAAAGTCAGAGTAACTGTTGCCGGAGCAAATGTCAGAGCATTTCCTCCAGCACTATATTTGGATCAAAGTGACCTAAGGTGTTGACCTCATCTTACCTGAATGGTCAAGATGACCGGCTGTAGGTCTTCATACTGGACTTCAACCAGCTTGGCAGCCTTGTTGGCGAGACGGTGTGAGGTAGCTACAATGGCACCGATGCACTGACCAACACAGTGGACCTATCAAAAGAAACATTTTGTAGTTAGCATATGGTTCATGTGACCCAAAATATCTACAGATCTCGTGCCATAGTCTGCAATGTAGACAAAATACTCTCAAAGTAATGAAAATGCTTCATGAATAATTTTTGTTTCCATGCACTTTCAAAAGTATAATTATAATTTATCGAGAAATTCACAATAAAACAGAGGCATGATAGCTCAGTGGTAGAGCAGTGGTCTTGTAACCTGGAGGTTCCGGGTTCGAAACCAAGTTGATGTGCCAGTGCCCTTTAGTAAGGCATTGATCCTCATTACCAAGTCCCTCGGTGAGGACTTAAAGCTGTCGGTCCGCTGGTTGCTTACTTACGAGTACACACACGCTTACTTAACAATCAGGTAAAACAAACAAAGTAACCAACCAACATTCAATATCTAATTGTTTGGAGGTGATTGGGGTTAACTTTCCTGTGAGAAGGTAGTAATTGTACAGAGGGTGGTAGTCAAGATGTAGTCATCCTAAAATCCTATTCCAATTACTTCCATATAATTCACTCTTTATTTGATTTAGATCTCTTCAAGTCATTGCTGTAAAATCAGAAACTTTCGCAATTTTGTAAATAACAGCAGTTTTACAAGAAGAAACTTTCGCAAATCGCAATTAAGTCAGTTGTGATACAAATTTTAATATGTATAAAGTCTCTGGTTTACAAATAACTCCATTCCAATACATTTTATCTCCTATTAGCATGAAATGCACAGCAGCTAATTGAATCAAACCAATTCAATCTCACCTCCTCTGTTGCGAAGACTTCATACCCTTCAACGATACACTTATCTCCTGGAATATCTTTGTGGCTCACGTACGCTTCTACCCCTTCTAGAGCAAGGGCCTTGCTTGCATCCACACAGCTGAATGGAATAGAATGCAAATGAATGACAGGTGAATACGCGACACACGCTCCTGAGGCAGTATAGTAGCACAAAATATAGTTTGTCAATTACCGCATGATATGAAATATACCGGTAGATGTTAGTATAACATGACTGCAAAGATTGATATATTTGGATGCCCCTTGGATATATTATAAGCACTAGAAAATTGAGCCCTTAAACACTTCTGCTTTCGAGAGAAATTGAATATAAAAATTTACCGGTGCTCCCGGTAAATTTTGATGAATTTCAAATAGCGCCTATGGCCGTACAATGGTAGCTGTGACCATGAAAATCTCAGAATATGTAGTTGTGATATATAATTTCCAAACGGGAATAGCATATTTGGTCGATTTAGTCAAGAAACATTGTTTTGTAACTTAATTAATATCTTGACCTTGAGAGGGAGCTATACAACATAAAGAGTGTATTATTTACAATTTCATAACTTTAGACTCGATTAATCGCGACAACGATCACTAAATATTGTAGGATCGCATTTGCTTTCAATATATTCATTTGAACCAAATTCATGACCCCATACCAAGACTGTGTATTACCTTTAAGGGCAATTTTAATACCCTACTGTAAATATACATCCAATAGAAACCCTATTTGAATTATGTAACACGTCATTGTAATGTTTGCACAGCTCAATAGTTGAGGCAAGGCTACTGAAATTGTCTTTAATTGATTATGATATTTGATATAAATGTACAGGTACGATATACCACACTTCATTCACTATGTTGTAAAAGACATAGACTTACACAATCTTTGCATGGGCTCTTGAACTGACAACCAAAGCCATGTACAGCTCACCTGTGGATAAAAGAATATTTCAACTCTTCTCTAGTGTCTGTTTTCTTCTTTTCTTCTTTTTTCTTTTTTAAACAACAAGCAATAAGGAAATGAGCTCTAAAACGTAAATTCCAAAAATTACTTTAGACATTCCTCAGGTACATGTATTTGTTCTTGGTATCTATTTATGTACAACACTGTTCTCTGATTTTTTTATGATTGATGTTTAATTGTTGTATTCCTGGAAATAAATACACATAAAACTAAAACTAAAATATTACAATAATAATTCTACTTGTCTTGACAAATTAAAAAAAGCAAATTTTCATTAGTGTTAAATGCTATGTCTTCAGCGCAAGCAGCCATGAATGTGCAGACATTACCCAATGATGCATCTTAAATTTAGTTGAGCCATTACAATCAAAATATTCGTCCCTGAAATAAGCATAAGATAATTACAGAAAACAACTCCAGATTCCTACCTTCTTGTACGGGTATATCATCACAGAAGACCGCCTCCCCAGAACACTGCTGAAGAGCTGCCCGATGGACAATGGGTCTACCTAGGGGATCAGCATCCGGCTGGTCTATGGGCGGGGGCTGGTGGGAAAGTAAGAAACATATGATGACTGTCAATGTATCTTAAAGAGCTTAATTGGAAAATATGCTACATCCATAAAAACAAGAGATACACTAATGTAACCCTACTGTAAATCTCTGCTCCACCATTCCTTTTTTATCATATTAAGAGAAAAAGCATAACCCTGGGACAGTGGTTATGTTACAATGGATTCCGGGATTCAAAGAAGTTAGCGCACTTGTGCCTTTATGTACACTGAAAACTTCTACTACACATATCTTGTATATCTCTCTCCTTCTGCACTCCCCATTCAAGCTCAGAACAGCAGCTGTGTAACCAAGTTTTGTAACAAAGACATTGTGGATTTTAAACCTGATCAGAACCTCCACTTGTGCCCTGAGGGAAGGTAATCGATTATCAAAATGAACAACTTCTACCATAACGAAACACTCTAGCATGCATTCAACTACAGAACCCTGTCCTCTATGTGTGCTTAACAAATTTCTATGATAGTTATTCATCTTGTTAAGTGATTAAAAATTACTCCAAATTAAAATCTAAAATATATTACAGTCAAACCTGTATAAAAAGACTTTTTTTTCCTCTTTCCCTTGAATATGGTTTCTCATTGAACCTGCACTAAAGGAACCTGCACATAAAGATCACCTGCCTATAAAGGCCACTTTCCTTGTTTCCCTAGAGCTGTTTTTATGACAGGTTTAATTGTATATACAAATGATTAAGGATACCCTTTTTGCTATTACAGCACAGAATCTATACAAAAAGGCGCAGAATCTATCCAGCACAAAACAAAACCAACAGAAGTGTTACCTGATAGATCTGTGTACTGACTGGGCCTTCCCCATTGTAGGATGCAGGTATGCTAGGATCTGATAACTGACCATGGGTGAAAGGACCAGTCAAGGCCTGGATACAAGTGAAGGAAAACAATAGTACCATTAATTTTCGCTTAAATTAAGTGTCTATGTAGCCTTTTAAAGACTGCAGGAAGCAAGAACTAATTTGAAGTACTTTTACTTGTACTGCAGTGTAAATGGAATTCTTGTTGATATCATATCTTCTTGCGGCATACTAAATCTTGATTTTTGTTGTTGTTCTTGTTAATTGACAGGGATGTATTGTTCTCAGAATCTAAATACATATTGATGAGTAATTCGTACTTCACTGACTAAGTCAAATCACCTTTAACTTCGCATGATCTGTCAAAGTTTAACAATTACATTATCATTTTACATCAATCTCTCCCTCTCTGTCTAGTTTTACCAAATAAAAGGCCAAATTACCAAATTTCAAATTGCATACCTGCTTGTTGTCGATGCGTTGGGAGACTTGAACATAGAACCTGAGAAGACATGTCACCATACCACTCTTCCTGTACTCTGCTGAAATCTCATGAGGATGAGGTATTGGTGTAATCTCCATGGTAACCGACTGGATCGCATCCTGCAGAAAACTTTGGTTCCATGGTCTGGAAAGGATGGTGAGGGATAGAAAAGAAGATGATTCCTAATTAAAAGGTTGAATCACTTGAAAGTGGATGCAGAACTGGTTTATTTGTACATAATGCATGTTTGAAGGGAATTTTTTTTAATGTCCTTACAACTCTAAATACAGATAAATGATACACAGAAACTTGAAAACATATCAAAAGAGATACATGTACTAAGCTTTTGAGATGTCCAACTACCAAGAATTTTGACAGTTTCGATAAATGATAGGAAAATGGAAAATGCACTCTTCAAATATTAAATATTGATAAGTAAGTATTACGTTTTGTAATACAATTGAATAACAATGTTAAAAAAAGTAAAGATACTTACTGTCCGATCAGACTATTGCATGTCTTTTGAGCTACAAACGGATTGTCATCAATAGCACCAAACACCAGACAAAGATCCTCGACCTTTTGACCTTCGGGTTCAAAGGTCACCCTGAACCCACAGCTGATTGATGCACGAGAGTTGTCACGACGCTCGGCCACTTTATGAGAAAAGAAGTAATCATTCTGTTGACAAAAATAACGATACAGCATGAAGAGAAAGTGTGTAATAGTACATACATGGACATTATAACATAAAGATGAACGCTACTTTCTTATGTCTGTCTATTAAGACAAGGAATGAACTGGTACATGCTGCTCTTAATACATGTGCTCTTGTGCTGGTGAAGATACAATATCACATATACTATGTACTAATACTACTAATATTCTAAAAAGTTCATGTAATAATTTGCTATTGACTATTGCATCACATATTCAGGATAAAGGTTTTTTTTGTTTTTTGTTGTTGAATCAATAGCTCCTTTTGTACTTACAGTGAAAGGGACACAATAAAAGCAAACAAAGTTCATATTTGATGCACATTTGGAGCTTAAAATTCAGGGAGATGTGAACTGGTCTAGCTGTACAGCCTCTTTCTTTGTCTTCACTACGACTCTGAAAGACCCTGGTTCAAAACAGAGTCACTCTTTCATTTGTGACATTTAAGATCGGTTCGATCGGTCCCAAGATGTACCTTATTGAACATGATTGATACACATGTTAAAACCCAATTACACACTCAAACACAGATGAGATACAAGTTGGTCTAGCCATACATTCACTTGGTCACCTATCTATCTCCGCCCCAAAATTGACTCTGACAGATGATGGTTAGGAACGGGTCATGTTTTTCGATTGGTGATGTTTAAGGTCGGTTCCCAAATATAAATATTCATATCTGATTGATATACATCAGTAAAATCCCAAGTTTTACACACACATATTTGATCATTTTGACTGTTGGCTATACTTGCCTCTATTGTGTATTTTGTGTGGCATATGTGACCAAGTACAATTGAAAATGAATGAAAAGTTGCACTGTAAATATCATTTAGTTTATATTAGGTCTCATCATTAGGTCTCATAAATTTAAAACACATTATCATGATTTGTTTAATTTGACTACAAGACAAATGAGACAAAAGAAAATGAAAATGTGATTTACAGCACTGCTAGCAAGGAGATATAACAAAAAACAGAATCAAAGTTATATAAAAGCAGTTTTATGAAAACTTGTCCTATAAATCATAAATAGTTCATAACAAATTGGAATATTTTAACATAACACTTGCCTGTCCTGTGAAAGGTATATGTAATGATTCAATAATCTCATCTCTGGCCAGGACTGACTTGTTGGGCTCTGGGTAGAAATCCTTGTCCAGAGGAAGGGTTCTTCTGGCTCCTGTAAGGCAGAGGTAGAGAGCTTAAATGTTACATTCAAGGTTACAATGGTTGTACGGCACTCAGGCACAGTTAATATTAATATTACGATTTTGGTTAGTGTACGATAATGGCCCAGAGTAATGTTAGCAAGGTAGGACCTTACAGTGGTCAAACAAGTCCAAGGTATTTATTCATTTTCTTAACGTTTTTAAATATAAACATACCAGTATATTATGTGTAATGGAAAAAAGAACATAAAGTAGCAACCTAGGTATTATTTTCGTGATGTTTTGCCTGATCTTAGTTGTGGTAAGCCTATAAATAATAGTCATGAGATGAATAAAATATGTGCTGTACCAGTAATTGATACTAACATTCAACAATTATCATCTGCTGATGAGGAAAGACTATGAAGAGGAAGAAGACACAAGGGAAACAAAATATGGTCTGTATAGGCAGGTGATCTTTCTATACAGGTGGCCACTATTTTGGCATTTGCACTTGTGACAAAGGCCTGGGCTCTGTATCATCAAAGATAAAGGGATAGGGAAAGGGTTGCAATTTGGATATTAGGTTAAGTCCAGGGTTAGGGGTACAATGATGGCCCAGAGTAAGTGTTGCCAGAGATTGTGTTATACAACCCTTTCTATACAGGGGGCCACTAAAGCAGGTTACACTTTCACCTGCGACAATCATTCCACAGTAATTTCCCACACCAACCAAATTCTGAACTTCCACCCTGGACATAAAACTATTCCTAACCCTAACTAAACTTAACCTAATACCAACTTGCAACCCTAACCCTAAACTTTTGATGATAAAAAGCCTGGGGAATTGTAACCATAGCAAACTGTTGGATTACTGGCTACATTATCAAAATATACAGACGAAAAAAGCTAGAAACGGTATCCTGATCATACCTCCAGCTTTTACAAGAGTGATGGTTGTCTTGGTTGCCATGAGGATGATACACAGATCCAACATCCCACTTGCACCTGCTATACTCCCACCAATACTCTGAGTGGAAAATTTGAATGTGATAGAAGTATGTAAGAACAATAAAACAGGGTGAGTAGGAGTATAGTGGGTTATAGGAGCAAACATTGGAAATGAGGTTTTCCAAAACTTTTTGTCTCTCAGAATGATGCAGGTCTTTTTTTGTTAGCTCTAATCATGATACATCAAATGTTAAAAAGAGTGTGCTTCATCACTAAGAAAGAATATGAAGTAAAACAAAAAAATTGTTCCGATTTCACCCTGATTATTAGGATATAAAGATGTCATATGATGTTATATTGGCAAGTACTGGTTGTACAATGTTTGCAGTATGTGCCCACATCTTGACATGTTAAGCTGTTATATATATGCAAAACCCTAACATAACAGGATATTAGATCAGTTGGTATTTAAATGCATATGGGAAACATAAATTAAGTTGTGTCCAATACGTTTCAAAGGAGGAAAAATACGTACTTTATCTTTTTATGGATATATGAACAGGTATTAGCCATCCACCACATTCCATTGATATGAACTTAATGAAGGATCAATAACAAAAGGGCTGGGTTAAAAGGTTAAAGGTGAACTCACAGCCATGTTGCGAATCTGTTGCCCTGCCCACTGACCAAGCATGTCAGTTATAGCTCTGGCAGACCGAGTCTGGTGCTCCGGCAACCTCTCTACCATCCCCCTGAGATGCTCTTCAAAATGAGACACGCTGACCCCTGACCCAAAGGTGACCCCTGTGTCAGAGGTTGTGACCTGGGTCAGTTCTGTGACTCCTCTTCCAGGTGAGACAAGAAGAGGGAAGTGATCTCCTTCGTACTTGAGCGTACCTGGTGGGGAATGAGATAGAAACTGTCATTGCTTTGACATTGATGCAGTCCTCCCATCCTTTCAATGACATGTGTGATTCATTGGCTCAAAACTTCTTTTTTTAAAACCAATACTAACTCAACTAACTCAACTAAAATCGTTCAATAAAATCTAATCTAATCTGTTGTTGGCTTGCCCGTGGGTTGAGCCATCAGATCACATAATATTGGTTGAGTACAAGAAAATTAATGACTGATTAAGATGAATTAAATTCAAGCGTTAAAGAGCCAAAAGAGCTTAATTTACTGAATAAAAGTCAGAAGTCACCAAAGTTTACATATTATTTCAGATCACTTTATGATTTAAACTACATTTCATCAAGACAGATGCATGCACTGTGTAGACAACTGAGCTGGAGTTTGCACAATTGTTGAAGAGTGGAAATGGTTTTGTTCTTAGATTTATTAGAGATTTCCGGCTACGTTGTCATATTAGACGGTCCCATTCTTCATTTGGAACACATTATAACCAAGATAAATGACCTACTCATAATGGTGCTCCCCATGGTGAGCTGCGCCTGTGAGTTGTCCGCTAAGAGTTGAAGCAGTTCTTCCAATGTTGACGTCACGACCCATGTGGATTGACCCCTCCGAAAGATCACTGTCTGATTGTATTCTTCAGCATTGGTCTGTGTGAGGTAGGAGAGAGAAAGATAAATCTTAAAGAGATATTGTATTCTGCCCTGATTTCATGCAAGCTTCAATTCTGAATTCAATTTCGAAATCTCCAATTCAATTTTCATTTTCATTTCTATTTTCATTTCGTACATGATTACAGTTTTCTAAGCAGCACATGGCAAGTCCAAGCTCTATTGTCAAATATGTTACCAACTACTTTTAAGATTTCAGTACTTTTGCTATGTAGAAGCTTGAAACAGACCAAACATCAAGACACTGAAAAATAATGCAAAGACATAGAAAATAAACAGCATCATCTTTATATTTCTTCACAGAACATAAATAGCATACACTTTGAATCTTACTAGAAGTTCAGGAGGAAATATTGGTTCTTGAGAAGGATCATAAGGTTTCCAATCTTCATCATTCACCATCTGTAAAAAGAAATATAGAGTTTGGTTGCATAGTTTGTGAAAGGAACATGCAATGAATGAGAGTAATATAATTCCATTGATATTATACAGATAATATTTTTGTGTGCCTCGTAAGTAACATACATTCTCAGGAAAATATTGAATATTCATGGCTAATTTCCATACTAATGTCAGTAATCAAAATACATTATCATTAATCATGAAATAGTGGATGAGTTAGCCTTCTTGACTTAATGTTATCAGAAATGATATCTGTGTACTCACACTCATAGGCTGATAATCCGGCTCTGACTGACATGAGCTACCTGTTCGCTGGCAGCAATCCTCCTTCTGAAATATAACACAAATTCATCAAGTTGTAGTTTGATATCATTCAATCATGCAATAATACATTGAAAGATTTTGCGAGATGAAAAAAAAAGACAAAGATAACAAATCTGATATAGTTGTAGATTTTAATTAACTTAATTTCAATCACCAAAGTAAAAATTTCCTGACCTCCAATGCTTACATTCAAACACAAGAATACACTGTAAATAGAATGAATGTCATAATCTTTTGTCACTGAAGGCTAAAAGTAACTTATTTACCATTTACTAAAAATCTATCCTTTTGCAAGAACATTGTAGAATTGGAAAGTTACTTTGAGTAATTGATAGTACAGTACTCACCCCAACTACCACCCTCTCCTGTACATCCCTTTATCAATTAATAAAGCAGAAGGACTTAGATCCATGAATTTAACAAGCAATAAAGCATCACATTATAATTATTTTAAACCACCAATATCCAACTCTTTCAGCTTATCCGCAGAAGGATACAAATCAATGAATTAAACATCCAATAATTCATCATAAACAGAATGAATACCAACTACAACCCCCTCCTGTACATCCCTTGGTCAGCTTACCCCGCAGAAGGACTTAAATCCATCAAGGATAGGTCTATATCCGGTGCAGCGACACAGGTTGCCTTCCAGGTGCCTGAGGATATCCTTGACGTGTGGCTTGGGATTGTTACGTAGCAGGGTGTACATGGACATGACCATCCCAGGACTGCAGAAACCACACTGAGAACCATGGCTCTTGGCAAGACGCTCCTACAGAAGGAGGCAACATAATGACCAGAATTCTCTTTCATATCTTTTCTCTCTTTCTCTCTCTCCAGACAAAAAGATAGAAAGAAGAAAGATAGATATGATGTAGAATCTGTCTAGAGAGGTCATCTGTATCTAGTGACCACTGTTTCCTTTGGATTGCCTCGACAGACAAGTTTAAAGACATTATTCAATACAAGGTACATGATTGTTTAAATGAAGTTGATCGTAAAAATTACAAGTAAACAGAACTTTATAATACATAAAACTTGACATTCACACTCAAGTTTACGGATTTGTACGCAAAAGTAGCAATTGGATTTTTATATATGTATATCTTCTTTATAGCAGTAATATTTGAAGTTCTTATTTGAAATAAGTACAGCAACATGGAACCCTGAACAAACTAATACATATTACAATATTTGTTTATGATTGGGTACCCTTTGGGCTTATGCTCTTCCATAAGTACCTGAACTACATGAAGCCTATCTCTAGTGCTTCCAATACCCTCTACAGTAGTGATTGCTTTGCCGTGAAGGAGACAGATGGGCGTCAGGCAGGAGACAACTGCTTCATGGCTGCATCAATCAAATGAAAGAGAAGAAAGAACTTGATTATGAGCAGACTTTGTGCAATTTTTAACCCATTTTCTTTAATCATGCAGTATTGTAAACAAGGCTTTGTATAATAAATTTCATGTAACATTATAATGATGTTGATTGGCTTCTTGACTCTATAAAGTATGCCAATCTATATTCATTGGAATTGCACACGTGTACCTTGTAACCTACCGGTATGCCTGTTTTATGTTATTTGTAAAGTATCGCAATTTCAGCCGAATGGCAGCAAACATGTCTTCATAAACTTAAGTTGAATTTCAGAGAGACTTTGTGAAGTATCGCAATTTCAGCCAAATGGCAGCAAACCTATGTTTTCATACAAAACTTGAGTTGAATTTGATAGAATTGATGAGATATAGTTAAAGTGCAAAAAGAATATATATATCATAAGGAAATGAATGTTATTTTGAGCTAAGCACATTTTAATGTTTGATCAATATACCATTTCCATGCATTTTAGTGATTTCTTTATCTAAATTCCCTGATTTTTCAGTGACTGGAAAAAAAGGGAAACACATTTTTTAGGATTTCCCTGATAACAGGATAGCTCTGAACCCCTATACATGTATACATAGAGAGAGAGAGAGAGAGAGAGAGAGAGAGAGAGAGAGAGAGAGAGAGAGTGTGTGTGTGTGTGTAAGAGAGAGAGAGAGAGAGAGAGAGGGGGGAGGAGAGGTAGAGGTAGAGAGAGAGATGGGGTGGGAGGGGTGGGGACAGAGAGATAGGAGGTGGTTGCGAGAGAGTAATTTTTCATGTGGACAATCATCAATGTCCATCAGCAATGTTGTCAGTCCTCACCGTATAGCTTTCGTCTGAGGATGGACATATGAAAGCATGACAGTACATGCCCCGCATGCCCCTACACCACACGCTTGCTTCGTTCCATGTAGCTTTACTGGACTCACATCGTTAAGGAAACTGCTTCATATTTTCACTCTTATTTATACTCTTACTTTTACTGGAACAAAACACAATAAAACACATCAGATAATCAGAGCTTGCAGAACTAATGTAAGGTTCCACCTTTTCAATGTTTATTATGAATTACTCTGTCATGAAAAAGCCATAGTAAATATAGGCCTTTCTGTGCTAGGTATCACTACCATATTGACAACTCTAAAATGATTGAATGGCCCAGCAGAAGGGCAGGATTGGATATTTATAACGGAACACAAATATCCAAACTTCTGACCATTATTTTGCCGCACAGTCCGTACATCGTCCAAATTAGCAATAACATTACTACTTTATGAATAAAATCTAAACCGTTAACCTTATCTCTACATATTTTTTTATTTTGTTAACAAAAAAGTTGTATTTCCCAAAGTACTGGTATAATTAGTTTCCATGGTTACACTTTTCTTCACAATTACAAGGAGTCATTTGCTTTCAATGCTCAAGTGCTATCGAGCAAGGTCTGATGAAGACTGAGAGATGTGAGTTAACATTTACTACAACTGGATTCAGGAACTGGAACAGAGCGTTGAATCATCAAGCCTCAATATTTCTTAGGCAAGCAGTATTCAAGATTTCTCAGCAAGATGAAGGAGTGAACGTGGCACTACTACTCAGCAAGCAAAATTGTAAACAACAAGAACTGAACAGGAAAAGTTTTCTTGTATTTTGTTCAGGCAGTGAGGTACTTGTTGCGAGAAGGAATACCCTTCCGTGGGCATGCAGATAGAGAAGAAAATCTGCAACGGTCACTCGATGCAAGCAGAATTAGATCCTGAACTGAGACAGTGGCTTCGGCGGTCAACGATGTTCACATCACACAAATGTATTGAGGAGATCCAGAATATCTTCTCCCATACATCCTCCAGGCTATCATCACGGACATCAAGGACTCTCAACAATACACAGTATTTCTTGATAGAACCCGGGATATAAAAATGAAAGAACAAGAATCAGTATGCATTCGACATGTTGATCAAAATCTTGAAGTGCATGAGGACTTTGTAGGATTCTACGAGCAGCAGGAGACAACAGGAGCTGCTTTGGCAAGTACAGTAAAGGAAGCCTTACTACGACTTGGAGTTGACCTTACATGTTTGAGGGGACAAGCCTATAATGGAGCCGCCAACATGGCCGGGAAATTCAATGGATGTCAAACAATTCTGCGGGCGGAATATCCACTTTGTCTCCACCATCACTGTGCAGCACATTGTGTGAACTTGGTATCTCAACATGCATGCCAAGCATATATGCATCTCTCACTGATGCATTTCAACTAGAACAAGATCTGCGAAACTTCTACAAGAGAAGTGGGAATACAACAAGCTATTTTCTAGCATGTATGTGGAGATTCTGTCCCTGCTGCTTCTACCACCATAAAACCGCTGTGTCCAACAAGATGGCTATACAGACATGCAGCCGTACCTTCTGTGCCTTCCAACTATGGAGCAATTTTAAAGAGCTTGTTAGAGTTTGGCCAGGAGACTGGCGACGGCAAAGCGAGGGATCTAGATGATGGTCTTACTGTACATGTAAATCTGGGGTGAGCTATCTAGCGCTCTCTGTAGCAATAAATCACAGGTCCCCTTCATGAACTGAACAGAGTTCTTCAGGCAGAAAAGCAAACAGTGTCAGAGATGTTGGAAAATGCAAAAAAAAGTAGAAAAATCACTACAGTGCGTCCCAGAAAAAACGAAACCAAGAATTATTGATGTTTAATCATAACTTAATTACATTTATAATTGATAAATGACACATATTTGCAAGCTTAGAAAGAATGAGCTAGGAATAACAAAGTTCTGTTTGAGTAAAGTAGTGCTTGCATTTCCATAATTTTATTAAACAAATTCGTTTTCACTGGCTGCCTGCCGTAGCAACAAATGGAATTATCACAAGACTCAACTCCGATTCGTTGACAATCAGCCGTAGACGAAAGACTTCAGGCTTAAAGTGGGAAATAGAATTCCCATCCATGCCCAAGCTCCCTACTAACTATTTACAACCCTTCGGACTGCACACTAACTAACCGCAAAGTAAAAGTGATATGTGAAAACAGTATATTGCTTGTTTTTTTGCTACGGAATGTATTTTTTCGATACAACATAACCTCAAAAACCAGTGAGGGGGTAGTCACTTCCGTCATCTTTGCCACTCTCGTTCACTATGCTCCCTCGTCCCTCGCATCCCCCCCCCCCCAATACATATATCCTCAAAGAAAATTCCAGAAATACTACTTTCCACTGGAAAAGACTTTTACCTCCCCCCCCCCCCCCCCCTCAAATCAAATCAAATTAAAGACATCATGAAATGGGTGTATACTTAATACTTTGAAATTAACCTAAAACCTGGCCTTTGTGAAATATAAAACCTGTTGCTAACCTATTAGTTCCACATTCTTTTATTCTTTACAAGTCAATGAAAGCATATGGTCAACTTAAAAAGGTGATAGCATTTTCATATGGTTCTGAAAGTAATTTAGCATGCAAATATCCCAAATTTAAGATATCCTCAAATAGCTGTATGCTTTGATAACTTCTACAAGTTTTGTTTTAAATTTGTTAACTAAATAGATCGATTTAGGTAATACAGCCTACAGGTATGTACATATTAAAGGATACACTTTGTTCGAAGATAGACATCTAGAGTAGTATCTGGGTCTGCATCTTTTTCGATGATCTGGAAGAAAAAAAGATAGCATCGATCGACATTAACTATGTGATTCTATCAGAAAATACAAAATGAACACTTAGCCTATGTTATGATGTAAAGTTGAACTAGGTTTTTTCTTCAAATGCAGAAATATCTTTGTTATGAAAAAGAAATATCATTCTAGTTTTTATCTAAGGAAATATAGACCCTTGACTGAGGCTTGTTGCAGTAATGATTACGAAGCAGAATTTTATTTTTTCTTCATTCTAGATCCCTGTTCAGAGATTTCGGCAAACATGTAAACCTGGGTGTGACTACAAAGTACAAAGTACAAACTAAAGTTCAAATTGTTTTGGGTCAATAAATTCAGAAATAAAACATCATCCGTACCGGTAGTCTTGTTGACAATGATTTTAGTTTACACCACTTTGCAAGACAGCTAAACAGGAAGATACACAAACGTTTTAGACATTGAATGTTTAGACCCCTAATTCTTACATTAACTGCATGATCCATGCACGACTAAATTAATTTGAGCAAACATGGTTGATTGGAGACGTAGTCACACGTGTCACAAAAATTGCCCCAACCCCATGGAATTACCCATGTACAAATACAATGTGTTTTCCACTCAAACTGCTCAACTTATAAAAATTAAGACATAAAAAAAAAGACTTACTGTATGTATTCATCATTATTAAATTATCTGATCATTTATTTTCTTTGAGTGACGTGATCAACAACGCAATCAAGCCCGTAGGATTTCAGTGGAGGAGTTTGTGCAGACATGGGGAGGGGGGGGGGGGGGGGGGGGGGGGGGGGGGGGGGGGGGGTGGGGGGGGGGGGGGGGGTGGGGAGGGGGTGTCGATCCCCTCTCCCAGCTACATTTTTCCGTCTGAAAATCAAGTTTAATTTACAATTTCGAACACCAAAACGTTTTGTTCTCTTTTTCTTCTTCATTGTTTTTCTTTTAAGAATTCTTGCCGCTATATTGGGTTGTGCGTCCCCCTCCCCTAGTTACGGGCCTGATATATGTTTAATCAAGAAAAAGTGTTTCAATTCACAGATTCAAGGTTTTTACAAAAACTTTGAAAGATAAGTTAATAATTAACCGCTAGAATTTATATCCAGAGTAAATCACACTAGTTTCATTGAGCCAGACATGTTATGATATGCAATATAAATTTGTATAAACAATTTTAGTCTAGGCCTATATAGACTAACTCATAATGAAAATTATATCAATTGAAATGAAAGGTCTGAATGAGATGATACATATTTTGTCAACAAAATACAAAATCATAAATGCTTACACTCTTGCCTTTGGCTTTGCAATTTCTAGCCCCCACCCCCCCCCCCCCCCCCCCCGGCCCCCCCCCCCCCCCCAAAAAAAAATAATAAATCATATTTTAAGTTTTTAACAAAATATATTGTGGCTTCCATATCCACCCCTATGTTATTCTTAATTTTGTTCGCAAGAATGTGCATACATAGCGTGCTAACATGCCTTCCAAATTAGAACACGTCTTGACCTGGCCTTGCTTGCCTTGGCTGCCGGCTGGTCCCCTGGCTGGCCTGGCTGATCGAGCTGCATGGGCTAGCGCCTGGGCCTGAGCAGCTGCAGCGTTTCAAGTTCACAGACATCCTTTGAAACGCGTGTTAAAAGCAGTGGTGAATGCCATGCTAGAACTACTAATTTAATAGAATGCATATTAAGTGAAACATTTACCTTTTTACCATTGCAGAAGAAGATTAACTTGTCAGGCATTTTCGGGAAAGAAATCTCGCTGGCCTGTCCTGAAGGTATGAATTAGCTCTTCTTGCTTCGGCAGAAGTCACTAGTGTGTCAGAATCAACCCGTGTAGTACGTGCATGTGTGCATGTACAAAGAGCACTGTTTACAAATGACGTACGGCGCGTTGCGGCGCCGCCGGGCAGGGGGCGGGGCCAGGGCTGGTTCGATCAGCTGGAGATCAGCTAGCGGTACTTATTTTGTGGATCAGACGTGCCTGGGAGCCTAGAATACCGTTACCGTGTCGACAGCCCGGTGGGGTCACTCCCCTGCAAAGAGTGACACGTATGACCGTTACCACCAATGCATATAACCCCCTTTTGCGGTCAATTTCAAGGACATTTTGTGAAATTTAACCCCCTTTTTTACGTCAAAACAAGGACAAAATCGTACTTTGGAATACCCCTATTTATAAGATTGTAAGGACACTTTCGCAAATTTACCCCTATTTTACCATATTTCAAGGACAAGACTCGGCTCCGAGAATTTTTCTTCCCCGTTTTCTCTTTTCCCTTCCCGGTTTTCTCTTTTCCCTTTTCCTGACCCCTATTTATCAATTTCGGGGACACATGTGCCCCCCTATTTTCTTAATTTCGAGGAATATTTTGTCCGCGGACATTGCTTGAAATTGACCCCTTTTTCCGCGATTTTGGTAACGGTCATGCGGTCCGGAAGTCACATTGAGTGACCCCACCGGGGTCGACAGACTCGCACCAATTCAATTCAATTCATGTTCTATTGTTTTGATAAGAAAATGGCATAATTCTGGATACTAATATTGTCATAATTATTTACAGTAAAATTAAAGAAAACATGAAATAAGGTTTTAAAATGAAAATTGATAGCTGAATGTATACTAGCATATGTTACCCTCGAGAGCACTGCCCCCCCCCTTCCCTCCCCTCCCCAGGAAAAGAGCCTGTCCGTTTCAAACTAATTATGAAAGAAGTATGTCAGGGTTAGGGTTTGCATATTTGGAAACTGTTTGAAAATGACATTATGAATACCTCACCTTTGCTGACTCGTGCATCATACAACTGTAATATATATATACAAGATATTTATTTCTCTCGACCCCCCCCCCCACACTTTTTTTTCGAGGGGGGGGGGGGGGGGGCTGGGAGGCAACATTTGTATATATGTGTACATATTCCATGTTATCCTCCCCTCTCTCTTTATCTCTCTAATCTCTAGCTCTATGATTAATCCAAGGGGGTGGGGCTGTTCAGGGTGAAGGCAAAATAATCAAATCCTATATACGTGTAGGCATGGGGATACATCCTAGCTGACACCTACTGGGAATGTTCTAAGGGAGGCAATCATGGTGGTGGGAGGTGGTCTTCTCAATACCATTCTTTATCTAACTCCACTTTCATCTTCATTGATAATTATCTTACTTTGAACATTCTCTCTTTCTCACTTGTTCCATATTACATCTGCAGCATTCTCATGTCTGAACGGTCAAAGTAATTGCTTTCTCTAATTTTCTTTTTGATCCCTGCTTCTTAAGATCTTCCATCCCACTATCCCTTCTAGTTACTATATATACTCTCACAGCTCTTGGGCACTTGTCCCTGCAGCTTCATGTATTCTTCCTTCACTGCCCATATCTCTCCTCTATGCATCCACCACAATCACTGTTCCACAAAGTTACAATTATTTCAACAGTTTGATTATTTTTCGTTCATATGATACGTGAGCCCCATATAGCTCTTTCTTTTACTCTGGATCTCTCTAGCTAGCTCTGTTCTCAAATATTGCAGGATACTTCAGTGATACGAGCAAGCTGCATGCATGTGTTAATTGACTTTTCAAAATCACACAAGTAAGTAAGTGTGAAGAAAAAAAGAGCTAGCAGCTAGCTGCCGCACATAAACAAATATAAAATTAAAGGGATGCTTCTCAGATAGAGCCAAAATCCGGCAGCTAAATTGAAACAAACATTCCATATATTTTTTTCTGTCAACCCCCCCCCCCCCCCCCCACCCCAAAAAAAGCAACAAAACAACAACAACAATACCATAATGTCACAGTCTGGACATTTGCTAAAGATGAAAAACAACACATTGTATAGTGACTTGGTATAAACAACATTCATTTCGTCCTTGTTTTCACGAAGTGACGGTAGTGAGGAAAATCGTAACGCAAAGTGAATGCAATTTTTTTTCACTACCGTCACTTCGTGAAAACAGCGACGATTTATTGATATATCACATGCATACATGCTAGAAATGGCACAGATATATAATGAAGGAATATCCCCCAATCAGATAAAATATCATATACATGAATGAACAAACACATACTACAGTTACCAGCAAAATTATTCAAACCGTAACAAATTTTTTTTTTAAAGTATGTGGAAAACTTATTTGTCTCAATTTATGTTTCTTGAAAAAGCTTACATCTTTAAAGTATTCATCAATGGCCCATTTAACAAGTCAACCTTTAGTTCTTGAGTTAAGAAAACACACACAAAACTCAAATTCAAAAGGAGTATGAATAATGAAGGTGTTGACTGCATATTAGATGTACCGGTAAGTAAAAGTATGTCTTATAGAACCAAGGAGTGTGTTGGTCTTATAACATAATTATCTGCATAAATGGAGTTTGTTTTAACTACTGAATTCAATAAATTTAAAGGGATCCGGTAACTTTGTCTCAGATTCTGAAATAAAATTCTGGATTTAGCTCATGATGCAATGAAAATTATAAACCTTTAGGTCAGTCAGGAGCCCCATGACTTTTACAAGCCGATCGCCAGTCTGATTATCAAGATATTTATGATTGGAATTACAAATTTTGAAAACCGTTCGCCTGACGGTTTTCATAACACTACAGTCTATTGGGGAAAACGAGTATGGTAAAACCGGTCACTCAAAGATTTTTTACTTTTTTGAGGCACTTCTTGATCATTTTGAAGCACAATTTTTTTAGGGCTTCAATATTACACCATATCACAGACACTGATAACACGTAGGGCCGTGTATCTCAGATTTAACATTGTTAAACGATCCCTTTAATTATGATATACCGGTACACAAAATGGGACTGAAATAAGAAACTCTTCCTAACAGGTATAGCTAACAATATAAATGAACAATATAACAACAAAAAGAATACCAGTACTGTATAGCACAATGGACTATTTATATACATGTATTTTTGTTTATTTCTGTCTTTCATCTAATATAACTCATGTCTTGTCTTCTCTATCCCTCCTTCAACCCCCCCCCCCAAAAAAAAAACCTCTCTCCCTCTCTCTCTCTCCCTCTCTCTCTCTCTCCCTCTCTCTCTCTCCCCTCTCTCTCCCCTCTCTCTCTCTCTCTCTCTCTCTCTCTCTCTATTTCTCTTGGCAAGAGAATCAAAATTAATATATGAAATATATTAAGTATATTCAAAATTTCAAATAATTTACATCAATTATTGTATTCTTTACAGTGATGAATATGTCTTAGAAATCCAGTGTTCACACATTGTACACCATTATAGAATATATAAAAACCTGAAGGAATGATAATTGTATGGTTAATAATTCAATATGCTTGTTGATATTGATAAACAGGGATGCATTTGAAATATTTCCCAACTCTACTTACATTTAGCACTGTAAAGCACACACTACACAAATATTAAGGAAGCATTCTTCTGTAAATACTAACATTGTAATATTATCTTTTATATTTTTACATTACACCAACAAAAAATACTGACAGTTAAACCATGCTTGTATTTTTAAAAAATATTTTTCAGAATCCACATCTTTTCATAAAATCTAGTTAACTAAATATCTTTGGTATCCTACCTGATATTAATTAGATATACTGGATAAATCTGTACAGCACCCTGCAAAACCTGTGTATAATCTTAACTAAGCACTTGCTGACTATCAAAAATTCATCAAAATACAGAAAACTTCCTGATGAAAGATGTGAGCCTGAACTTGTATACAGTACATGTATTTATCATTTCTATGCTATATACTTCTTAATACTATGACCTTTGACCTTTTAACTTCTATTAGCTTTCAAAGTGCATGAGGATCAGATTTTGCAAGAGGAAGAAAATGTATGGCTAGCCAAAGGAGAGCACATCAATTAATCAAATATCATGCATATTTCATAGGTTCACATGAAGGCTGGAAAAAAAAGAAAAGTTGAGCTTGTGGTTTTAAACCTTGAATTTAAGGACAGAACTACAGCAGCAGTATTGGAGACCTTCATGAAGCAAATGTCAGTATGAAGTTAGATATTGTGATTGACTCATGTCTTGTATTATAATTCATAACACCTGAATATGAATGTGAACATCTACATGTATTTCAGCTTCGCACCAGTGAAATCAAATTTGGTTAATTTAATAAATAATATTTATATTTTACTTGGCAATGATTGGTGTCATCTTATTTAAACAATAATAATTTATATCTATTGTAGGTTTTGTGTCCAAGAAATATTTGTTTAACTTCTTCTGTACCATTTCTAATAATACAATCAAGATGGAATTATATTAACCATTTCCCTTTTGGTGTGTGTGCTAAAAACAGATTGACGATGGCATCTAAGCACGGAGAGCTCCTGGAACAGTATTGCCGGCTCTGCGAAACAAAGACTGCAATAGCTGATAACAGGAATTCATACAAGGAAGCGTTTGAAAGGACTATCCACGAGGCACTTCATATCGATACTTCATTTGCCTTACATGTGAAAGGAAGCTGGCATGTTTCAAACTTTTGAAACAGAAGAAGAAGGTGTTTACGGTCAACATTCCTTTGAGAGATTTCAAGCAGCACGATGACATATGTGAGATGTATAAAGAGGAGGATGGGATTGCTCCTACCCCAAATGTTGAGAAAGCAGGGATAGAAGCAGCAGACGAGTATGGGCTGTCATTGAGCAAGCAACATGATTGGATCTTGATCTTCTCAGTCATTGTGAAGGAGCACAATGTCTACGTTCCCAAAAGCATCATCATATTCTAGGACTGGACATGGGAAGTTGTGTTTGTGGGCAAGAAAGTTGCACCTTCAACATATATTCTGCGTAGTATCCCCATTGTTCTGGATGAAGAATCTGTCAAAGGACTTGTGAAATCTGTAGCTGGGTCCAAGGGTTGTGTTGGGAACAAGGACTTTGTTGACTTTCTGAAAAACAAAAACATCAGAGGGTACATAGTTGATACCCACTCAGAGGAAACAGTCCGCAGCATTAATTGTAAACTTGTGGCCGAGGACAACGATAAATGCAGCGTGTGTTCCATCCAGAGGAGCGACTTGATATCCATGAAGAATCGGAATAGGTCGTCTTCACCTATAAAAGCACATGTTTCTTCAAAGGCAAAATTGCAATCTCTGTCCAAAAAGCAATTAATCTCCAGAGCAAGGAACATACAGAAGGACACAATAAAGGTAAGTAGCCAGAGGAGACTTCAGGACAAAATAAGGACAATATTCAGAGAGGAGAGTGTGCCAGGTGGAGACACAAAAGAGATTGAAAAGATTGTGAAAGATGCAGCGGGGTTGATTGAAGAGAATCTTGTTGATAAATCAGCACAGAAGCTGTTGTGGGAGGAGCAGACAAAGGCATTGAAGTCCTCCAACAGGAGACAGATGTGATGACATCCATTGGTTATTTGATGGGCAATTGCTGTGCACAGCAAGTCCCCCGCAGCATACAAACTTATCAAAGACAGTAAGTTTCTTATATTACCTGCAATAGGAACACTTACAAAATATACACATTACACACAAGCGAAAACAGGAGTCCTTCACGTTCGATACAACAAACTATCAAAGAGATGAATTTGAAGCAAGAGTTCCAAAGCAATTTATCACTCATCTGTGATGAAAGGAAGACTAAGTCAGGCATAGTGTACTCTTCTTCTTCGACTGGGGAACTCGTTGGTTTTGTAGATGTAGGCAGCATAAATAACGAGTTGCGAGCATTTGAGAAGCACCAAAAGGGGACACCGATGAACTTGCAAGCCATGCATTCATGATCATGTTTCGTGGCTTGTTTTCTCCCACGTGCAAGCTGTAGCCCTTATACCCACTACATCCCTACACAGCGGGGAAATCTATGACTGTGTTATGAAAACGGTGTTGGCCATCGAGACAGCGGGGCTAAAGGTATGAGTTGTGGTGGCAGATGGGGCATCGTGTAACAGGACATTTTTTAAGGATATGCACTGATGATGTTCATGGCTATTACACCATAAACCCAGCTGATGAGGACAGAAAGATCTACTTCTTCTGCGATGTTCCACATCTGTTGAAAACAGCACTTTATGCACTGATGATGTTCATGGTTATTACACCATAAGCCCTGCTGATGAGGACAGAAAGATCTACTTCTTCTGCGATGTTCCACATCTGTTTGAAACAGCACGCAACAACCTGAATCCTGGAGAATTCTGGCTTCAACCGCAAAAGTAGGAACTTGCAACACTTGCAGTGTCTTATTTAATCTTTTTCTTCAAATTAAGCAAAAATACCTGTGGAAATGTTAGTGTACATGAAAATAGAGAAATACAAGCTGGACCTGCATCCCATGTTTATGTCAATCAACTTCATTGTCACATGTTTTTTCACTGTAATTGTTTATGTTTGTACATGCTTGTTTAATTATTCTCCAGGTGTTGAGCAAATAGGTTGCAAACACACTGAAACTCAAGAGTGACAACACTGGGGATACCTCTACCGATGGAACTAGGCAGTTTGTTGAAATGTTCAACAAGTTCTTCCATTGTCTGAACGTGTCCACTGCATCAGAAGGCAAACGGAAGAGAAATCCCAACCTCTTGCCCTATCGTGATGTTGATGATAGCAGATTTGAGGTATGATGTATATAAAGTTGTGTGAGGCCCCTTCAAAATAGGGCACCCTTACAAATTTTGGTATCTACTGTATCTACTACACATTTTCAGTGCATTATTTTAACCCCTCAAGTGTGAATACATCACACCCCCAGTTATAATGTATCAACCCAAAATTCCCCGAGCTCAGTGGTCAGCCTAGGTTGTCATCATTGTTGCTGATGCCCATACACATTGACTGACCATTGTTCTCTCTTTTCATTTCAATTTTCAGTTTTAACGCCCTCCCATAGAGGGAGCGGTAATATTTTGGCGACCTTGCCAGGACAGCTGATTGAATGGTTTCTTGCAATCCAGCTGTCTACTCATACTTCAAGCTAGAGTCCTGGCATGATTATCGTATACCAAGATGCGATTGACACTGAAATGTGATTCGTCGGAATGACTGATATAGGCTGTTCGTTGGAAAGATAGCGTGCAGATATAGGCCAAGAAGCATCCAGGAAGGAAGATGATCTGACCTAACTTCGACAAAGAGTGCTGAGGTAACAGAAAATTCGCTAAACTGTTCCACCAAATGAGCAATATGGATGTCATCGAAAAATTACAGTTCGAGATCGAGGGGAAGCTGTTCGGTCTGACAGTAGGAGGATTTTTCAAAGTGTGTTCCTTCTTAGCCATCCCCTCAAGCGAAACAGATGAAAGGCAAAGAAGTTCCTGGTGCAGCACGTTCAGAAGAAGGTGAAAGAAATAGGAGAAGTTGAAGAGACAGGAGCTGCAACGCTGACCTCCCTGCAGCAACATGTTGCAGAAGTCAGTAGGGAAGAAGCACACCAGGAAGAAGCCGTCCAAGGCATCTATCTCCAACCGTCAGACAAAACTGAAAGAGGTGGAGGAAACCATCCAGGCTAAGTTACGCCTGCTGGGAGATGAATTGAACCCCAATCGAGGGAGCGGTAACAGAAGTATAATTCTAGGCACTGGCAGTTTTATTCATTTTACTCAATATGTTTTTTATAAAATTACACATTGTTTATACATAAAACATCCAAAAATGTTTGTGGCCATATAAAGTTATTCCAGTGCAAAAAGAAATAAGGCGGCTATGGGCGTTCTGCCCTCAAAAGAAAACCCTGAATTTACAAAGAGTTCAATGCAAAGCGATTTTAGAGTTTTCACACAGGCTTCAAAAGTTCTCCCTCCAAAAATAATTCACTTTATTTTCCCTTATTCTCACCCTATCATGTGGTATTAATAAGTTCACTATGGCCTTACTCAAACTTTCTGTTATTCTGTTAAATGTTTTGAAATCAATTTTTCAAATTTAAATTTTAGTGGTTGAGAGACGTTTTCTTGAAGTACCTATCCGACTGGGAGAAGGCAATTGCTGAATCACCCAACCTGTCTGCACTTGAACGAGAACAAAGATGTATCAGCAAAGAGACACGAGATGGATTGAGAATAATTGGCAAGAGTTTCTGTCTCCCTTCCAGGACTCAAAAGTAATGCCAGGTCACTAATTGTAGATACCAGCAATATGCAACCCAACATCTTAGACTAGGAAGTGGAAATGGTATCGTTGCATAAGCATTCCCACAGTGCGAATCAGTGTAGAATTTGACTCGAAACCCAAGACGGAAGAACACGTTGCCTAGTTGAAAATAAATAATTGAATTGGCAACTCTGGGTCACAGGAAGGTAAAAAAGACTCCATTGTGATAACAAACATTGGATCACCAAATGTATACCACAGGTGTTTCTTTAGAAGGCCTAGGTCAAGTTCAAATATGGGCTAAATCACTTCAAGGTCAATGATCTTTCCATGAAGCTGTAAGTTCTCTTTTTCCACTCCCTGCAGAGCAGTCATGCTTGGCAGCCATGCAAGATGCAAAGAGTGCTAAATAAAATAGTTAATATTTTCATCTGCAGATACAAGGTGTGTATCTGAGGGAGAAGGAGCTACTGCTGAAGAGGACCCACCACTCAAAAAACAGACTGTACTCAACTAGTGCACTCTATCGTACGAATACCGCCTACCGCTCAATTTACGTTCTGATGCATGCAGCTAGTGAGATAGCTTTAGTAAACAAAGTCTGACTGGCTCACGCTCTCGGCCTCGATCGCCAATGAGGTGCTACCATCTCAGATCTATAGTTATAAGTGTAAGTATAAATCCAATTCTGACTTGCTATAATTCACAATTGGTATAGGTATTGTATATAGCAAGACAAAGGCTTACAATTAAAATTTCCCGGCCCCAAACTCTTTGCCTTGCCGGCCTTGAGTTCGGAACCACCATCTGACCATGGAAGAGGTAAGGTCTCAGAAAGGTGGGCATTGGGCCTATAAAGAGGTGAAATTCCTCATTAGTCTGTGGAAGAAGCAGGAGCATCTGATTGAAATGCTTGTTGTGTGTAGACGTGCTAAGACGGTTTATGAGGTGATGACCAGGAAGATGGCGGAGGCAGGATTTAAACGATTTTATATAAACATTTTCATCAACGTTATCATGTTATCATAATTATAAACATGTCTCCATGTAAATAATTAACAAAATTAATAATGAATCTTTCTTCCCCCTTCCATCTCTTTTTAATACAATCAAATAATACAATAGATCAAGCACGCATCTAGAATCAAGAAATTCTTGATTTTCTGAAGGAGCGAACAGCGCTTGTAACAGCATGTCACGTACAGTCTTTGAATCAAGAGTACAGCGGATCTACGGAAGTGTTGAGGAGGTCATTGACAAGGCTCAAAGAAAAGGGTAAAAGACTTCTCAAGAATAAAAGTAGATCAAGTGCCTACGAGGATTTCTTGAAAGAAGAGTTTATGTTCCCTGGCATAAATCCTTCAAGACGAGTGCCTCATAGGACTACTAGAGGAATATGCCTGAAGCATAAGGTTTGCAGTTTTGAGAAAACTGCCCAGGAATTGAGCGAAAAAGGTGAAACAAAATAAAGATGCATTAAAATCATCTAAACAAGATCTAGAGTATGAGAAACAAACATCCCTGAAGAGAAAAGTTGAACTTGAGCGAAGTAAGGATAGGGAGGACTATCAAAGAAAACGAAGCAGGGGGGGGGGGGGGTGTTTCACAAAGATCCTAAGTCAAACTTAACTCTAAGTTGGACTTAAAAATTATGGAGAGCCATTTGTAGCCTTTAAATAAAATATATTCAAATAAAAAATTCAGGTGTTTTAGACTTTTCATAAATTAAACATCAAGAGCATGAAATCTCCTTAATAATACAAAATATAAATGATTTGAATCAACATTTAATGCTTTTTAAAATAACTTTTACAAAATATTTTCAAAGATGCTAATGGCTTTCCATAATTGTTAAGTCCAACTTAGAGATAAGTTCAACTTAGGATCTTTGTGAAACACCCACCTGGACTCTGGAGGAGAGGATCAATCATCATGAATGTGAAGAGAGCTTGGGAGTTATGGAGGAGAAGGTGAACAAAATGCAGGAGGAACTTGTGCAGCTCAAACATTGCAACAAAATTCTGCATGAAAAACTGAAAGAAAAAGATGAAATTCAAACTTACGATAAAGAGAAAAACTGCTTTAATACAGCCCTAAGCCATTGCCTTTACCATCTCCTAGACAATCATGTTGCTGTGTCGAAGGTGTCCCCATGCATCAGTACTGTGACTGAACAACTAACAGGGAAAAAATGCACAAGACTGCCGCCAAAATCTACGATCGAGAACATGAATGTACAAAGGCTTTACCTTGCACAGAAGCAAATTGACATGGAATTGGGAAGTAAAGCAAATACAACTCTGTACTCAGATGAGACTTCGAAGTTTGGCGAGAAAGTGATGGGTTATCACATTACAGATGATGAGAGAAAGTATTATGTTTTAGGGTTGAGAGATATTGCCACGAAGTCAGCAGTGAATATGTAGTTACCAAACTCGTTTTTAGCTTTTCAAAACTTGGTTTTTCATTTAAGCACACCGTACAGTATATTGGGTGTGTCTAATTTAAACATACGTGTCAGACCCGAAGCCTAATGACTCTAATGGTCACGTGGGTCTGGTGTACTTACATTAAGGACAAAGTAGTCCCTTGATTATTTATCTATAAATTGTTTGTAGATTAAGTTAAATGTACCATAATGAAATTATGATATTTTCTCACGTATGTTTTATTGTTCTTTTCCTAAAACTGATTATTATACTTAGTTCAGAAGGATGTGCATTCATGATCGAAAAGTAGTCCTTCCGGACGTGCGCTATGTCAGGCAAGGCCCTGATGGGCATTTAATATAACAGACATTCCTTCACTTGCTTTAAGCGAAGCTGGTTGTTTCACTTTACACCATCCGACACGCTTAAGTATAAAGCCGTCAATGTAGCCTGTTTGTGTTGCACCATTTATACAGGTATGAGATAATTGAATATATTTGATGCTATTGAGTTTTACTTTGCTACCAGTGTTTATGATGTCGTAATAAACGAGTCGATTCAATTATTGTATATTATGTAATGAGATGTTTTATTCACTGTACGAAGGAAACGTACCGAGGCATGTTAAATTTATTCTTCTGTTGAGTTTTTTACGGTATTGATGAGTAGTCTGTAAGTATCAGACTCGGTTTATATATCATGTGGATTTTACAACAAATACTGTCCATAGTATATAATTGATTTTTCATGTTTTTTTCCTACTTTAGCCGCTGAGGTGTAAGGTGTCTTTATACACACCACGCTACAAAGCTAGGCTACAACAGACGATGACGTAGTATTTTCCTTACCCGTGTGACACTTAGTCTAGGGTGAGTTGCGTAGGAATATTTGTGTTATGTATTCAATAATATTGATCGGAGTCATGACTGTTTAATATCTATACATGTATTTACAGATAATATTGAATACTATGTATTTATTTCTTGGTTTGTTATTTGCATTTCAATGTGTATGAACTGAACTTATGAAAACTGCATTTGTCTACAGAAATCTAATCACAATCAATATTGATGACTTGCATGATTTTATAATGTGATTATTGTACTTATGATGCTTTTGTTTCATCTTCTGTACAATGCAGGGGTTTCCGTTTTTTATTTATTAAAAAACGAATAAACATCTTTGAACTTCACCACGGCGTCCCATACTCTTCATATTGTTTGGCTATGATTTAAACGGTGGAACATATACATTGGCAACCTTCAAGGAAGTACTGTCGGATATAGATGAAATAGCAAACGAGGTCAGCCCGACAGGAAGACATATATTGGGGAACATTTGCAATACAATGTCAGACAGGGCTGCTACTGAAATGAAGTGGCATGAGTTACTCCAACTTCATAGAAAGGAAGTGCTTCCGTACGTGAATCGAGGAGCGTGAACGAATGCTCCTGAATCCTTCCTAGAAAACTCGTCAATTTCACATCTTTGCATGCTACTTCTCTTCTCAAATAACAAGGATTCTCAAGCATAAATTCTGGTGAGTTTACTCACTTTGTGATTATAAAATGTCATTTCAAAACATTTGAATAACTTAAATTTAACTAGCTACGTTTTCCGTAAACTTTCATCATGTGGTGTACATCCACTCACTTTAAGTAAAATCACCTGTTCCGTGATTTCTCCGCTTACAATCAACACCAGGAGCGTTTTCAGCAACATTCCTTTCAGGAGGACATTTTATTTACACTGTATGAAAGAGCGAGCCATAGCCAGATGCACAAGGTGGTGTTGCACCAGATGGAACCTATTACAAGCTAAGGAAGTGGTCGGTCAATCAAACACCTCAAGAGCTTTCATCACTTAACAGTGATGTCGTCATTGTTTTTTTACAACGATCAGGTTGTGGTTGCAGGTAGGACGTACCATGCAAAAGTCTATAGCAAATAAAGAGTTTTAAGCATTACACTATTACACTATGACAAGATGTAAATATGTTATACCTGGTATTCTTCAAGACAAGACTAATGCAGTATTCAACATGGCGTTAAATTAGAAAGATCAGATCATAGGCACTACACATCTTCTGTAGTTTTGGTTCATTTTGTTTTGTTTTTGTGTGATAATTTGAGCATTTAATTAAAATGGATAATGGTGCTGTATAAATCTCATGTATTAATATTATTATTATTATTATAATGTTGGTGCATTTTTGTGATTTTTATTGGTTTTGAGCATTAATGTGTGATGTGTGGAGAGAAGGTGAATAATATAACCTTGTAAAACCTCCTGCCCGCAGTAGTGATTAACAGAAAGCCATATGGCAATGAAGTAGAATTACCAAGAAAGATTGTGTTGAGCATGTGCAGAAGCATTTAAGCCAGGCATTAAGGGACCTAAGAAGGAAAGACAAAACTTCATAATGGAAAGACCAAGGATGTCATGGGAGACCAACTGACAACAGATCAAATAGTATTGCTCTCTATAGGTACAATGCAGAAATTACAAGAATGAAAATACAGGTTAGTGCTATAGAGCATAGGAGTTCTAAAGACAAATATTTGTAGGATACTTGTATTTACAAGAATCCCTTGACATGCCATTGTTAAACATCAATCTTTCCACTTTAGCTTGCCATACATTTGCTACTCAACAAACTTAAGCATTTCTGATTCTGATAGTATTTTTTTTAAATGGCTGCGTGCGACTGGCCATGAACATTGAAAAGTAGAAGTGTACTACAGGTTAAGATAGAGAACATTGAACCATCATACTGAGGGGAGCCATTATATAAAGGCCGTCTGTGTTTTTAAGGCTGCTGTTTCACTTTACCTGAGCTGTCCTTATACACTGGATTAAAAATGGCTATTTATTGTTAGCCCAAAATGGCAAATTGCACTTCATTTACCCTACCCTCGACAGGTGAGCGATCAGAAAATTCTTATTGCTCAAATGTCATACAACCTGTCATATTTGTAAAATACATATAAAATGAGGATTTCTAACTGGTCATAAAAATGAAATGTACTGTAGGAATAAGTACATTTACCACTGGATGAATACTGAATAGTATTCCTTGATCAGATAACCTGAATCCTTTTGGCAATCATCAACTGTTCTTTAGCGCCATTTTCTCCAGATCATCACTCAAGTTTTCTCCATCTGCAACCCCTGATGATGAAGTTTCCAGTGACGTGGCTACAGATTTTGGAAGAATAGAGTATACCAGACTATTGTTGCTTTCCTCAGGCCGGAGATTCACCTTAGAGTCTTTAGATATTACAGCAAGACATTGCCTGGCAAAGTACCTGTTGGCTTCGTGGACATCTGGGTGCACCAAATACTCCTCGATCTGTGGTTGTGAAAAGGAAGCAAAGCCCTTTTAAGATTAAGCTTAATCACATTGTAGACACAAATGGTATAAAATGGTCTAAAGCCACTATCATAATTTGATTTTTGATAGCACAACCTATCAGTACAGTCTCATGAATAATGTTTCCCCAAAGCGATACACCATAATTGCTACAGGCTTTATGCAGAGCTGCCAACCTTGTGCGACCAAAAAAAGGAACCCTGATGGCAAAAAAAGGAATTTCAGGCAAAAAAAAGGAATTCATTAAAACAAAACTTATTAAAACCATGCGCGACACACTTCCAATGCAGAAATGTCTATTCCTTATGCTTTTTTTCTTCTCCTTACTAGCAGGTTTTTGGGGGGGTTATTTGTATTATCGGCATTTCATTCTTTTTGAGAATATTTTTCTCTTCAAGTGTGTTTTCAAGTATGTTTTAAACTTAGTTTTCTATTGAATTTGTGATCAAATCAACATTTTGGCGCAGTTGTTTGATGTGCGGTAAAGAAAAAGAAAAAGAAAAAAAAAAAAGTATTTTATGAAGAAAAAACGTAATACCGTAATATGGAGGAATGGCTGGCAGCTCTGTTTATGGTTTCATAGACAGGCACATATACTGCTACTTAAACATAGTGTTTCATCTTGAAATTTCCCGAACGAAAATTAATGCCGAATTCAAGATTTGAATCAAATTCTACAACCAACTTACAGGGTTTCATGTTTGAGTGATTCCATTGCGAAACCAAATTAACATTTAACTGAAAATGAATACGGTAAATAAACAACTTACAGGCATCCATCTGCACGCTGCTATTTCTCTGGGGTCCATGTTGATTTCTGAGGTCAGTGGTTGTAAGTGGCATACAAAGTAGATATCAGATCGACCAAAGCGAAACTTATGCAAGTGACGGAAACAGCCAATGGACTTGAATTTCGCAGAGATCCCCGTCTCTTCCAGAACCTCACGACAAACAGCATCTGGTAGATCTTCCTCTGGGAAAAGATAGAAGTGAGAGGTGTTACTGCAAGATTATGTACTTTTGAATATTTGTATTACCTCATTATTTCACTCAACGGGAAAATATTGTGACTTCTAGGGGTTAAATCAGTATGTTTGATAATTGTAATTTTAAAAAAACTTTCCAATATGGAATATAATACTTGGAGTATCCTCCTGAAGATTCTTGACATTACATCTAGAGCAATCACTAACCTCTTTTCAGATAAATCAGCATTTTTTTCACAATGGCTCCAATGCCCGATGTGCAACATATTGGCAGTTCAGAGCCAGCGAGTCATCCGTTATCAAGTGAACTACAACACTCAGTTTTAAAGACAAAGTTGAGTTCTGGTCATGCGATTGCATTGTGAAAGAAACATTGTGGAATCGATCAGAAAAGGTTGATCATCTAGCATAAAAGTATTGGGGTGTACTGCAAGGTTCTGGAATCATCAAAATGATAAGAAACTTGGCCCAGTCTTGGTAAAGTAACAAGCACTGTACACAGAAAGATGTATATATGGGACTACACGTACTTGTGGCATAAAAATCTGTCCCAATTTTTATGATGTTACATGCCATATTTAAAATATTAAGGCATTTGATGAAACATGCTTTTCAGGGAACATTTTTTATCTGATGTTCTTCCACACTTGCGTAATACAATGATACCGCTCATAAATTAGTTTTCACCTCTTCCCAGAACTCAACCTTCTCTTTAATAAGTACAATTATTTTCTTAGTGTACTTACTTGGGTCAACGGCTCCCCCTGGGAGTTTCCATCTCCCTTTTCCTGCATACAACTCCTGAATGACTAGCAGCTCATTCTTCTCATTCAATACGAAGCCACCAACACCTGCAAAGCAAATTAAAATGAAAGACTTAACTGCCAAAAGACCATTTCTTGAGCCATAATATATGAAACTCAACATATCTCCATCCAGGTTTTTTAAAGACAAAACATCATCATGACCATCATCATGACCATCAGTGGCGATAATAGAGTTTCTTTTTCACTACTAGGTTAGTTATCTTGATCGCAATATTGCAATAATAATCTATTCTAACAAAACATTCTTAATTTGTCATGGTACTCTCCAAGCAAGATGGGAATATACATAATAAACAATCACCACTCCTGCTATTCCCTTAAAATGATTTCCCTTGACAGCAACATTTGTTGCTTCTAATGCCAGCAAATATTAAAAACAAAATTGGGGCATTTAACTATTTTATTTTCAACCGTTGCGATTTCCATATTTGATGTTAATCCATCTAAAGTTTATATTGGCAGCCTCTATAAAAAAGCAATATTCTTCAGTTGCTTCATAACCTTTCTTGGATGGCCTTTACAGGCAAGCTCAATACTACACATTAGGTTATCACCCACTTTAGTTCCTTTGAGTGGACTTTGTAGACAGGTATAACTCTACAGATATGTATACCACCCAATATACTTTCTCCTGTGTGCCCTCTAGGCTCTATAGAGAGGTTTGACTGTACGTCAGTGCATTTACCTATGTAATGAGTAGCAAAGCCTGGTATCATGTTGGGTTCATCTTCTGGAAGCCATCTTGTCATCATCACATAATTGGGTTGAGCATGATGGAACACAAAGCCAAGCTAGGGTACAGGGAACAAAGGGCCAAGCAAGCAAAGCAATGTTTGGTGCAGGTCAAAAGAATAATCAAATGATGGTGAAAGAGACTTAACAGAGTAGCTTTTCTCAATCATCTTTTCAAGGAATTAAGCAATAAGCTTTAACGTAATTTCTCTGTATTTAAAGCTACTTTTGATTGCCCTATCCAAGCGCAAACTTCGAGTGATGTGCATCGTGCAATTAACACCTTTCCGATAACATCCAAATTAAAGCAACTGAATAGCAGTACTAAGCAAATAAATGTAAAAACGTGATAGCAATGAGAAGTTGAAAACCGACACATATGTTCCTACATGAACAATGTACATGTATGCACATCTCTCCTTAAAAAAATCTCATATTATAAGTAGGTGCAATAAACCAGTTTACATACTTTTTCAGACAGTATGCATTCTTTCTACAACAAAAGTTGTTCTTGACAACCTCGTAGCTTGCCTGACATAGCAAGACTTATGTGCAGACTTGATTATGAATATGAATGAAATGTCTTCTGCAGTGAATTTGTATGGGATTAGCAACCTCCGGTAGTCAGTGTGGCAGTGCTTTTGGGCATACTAAAGCAGTGTTCAATCATGTAGTTTTAAGATGATATTATATTTTATATTGCTGCTTTTACTCTGTTAATTTTTCAGAAAAAACAATAAAAACAGAAAGAAGAAAAAAAAAAAAAAAGCAGTGTTCAATCAACTTACGACAAGAAAAATGCAAGGTAGCAACCATATACCAGTACTCAAAGTCAATGTAATAGTAAGCACTCAGAATTAATTCATACAAATTCTTTAATTTCAACTTGCAAATACAACAACAAAATGAAAGAATAGTGTTTAAAGGGAGCGGATCGCCAGTTTCCATGTGCAGAAGGCCATAATTCGCTGACACCAGACTTGGTGGAAACACCATTCATGGGGGTACAAATTTGCACACAGCAAACCCATAGTCCAGTCAAGAATTACCCCCTATTCTCTCGGAGAGCTCGAGAGTCTTCGGGCAAATCAAAGCATTACATAAGGTCCAATGGTCATAAAACTCAAGGCTAACCCTGGTGATTGACAACACCTGTTATTGGGTAAACACCCGAACGGTGTCGAATTCCCCATGAGAGCCGACTACTCAGTGACTTTAATAAGGTCAGAGTGCCACTGTAGTTTAATAACAAGCTCTTGAAAGGTAATAAATGTATCTGTCCATTGGCATGCTGCTACATGAAATAAACCAGTGAAGAGAAATTCAGGGCCAGTTTATTAAACCCTTCATATGTCAAATTCTATGAACATCCCATTCTAATTTTATCAAGTGCATTTCATAGGGATGCTGAAGGACATAGAGTTAAAATGGTTTCATGAAACAATGCCCTAGGTTGGTGAAGTACAGTTAACCCTGAGTATACTGACGCAACCGAAACAGAAACAGGTCATACATGTACCTTGGCAATAATTCCCACAAGGTCAGCTTGGTGCAACGGTACTTTGATCCAGATACCTCTTATGGAAGTCTTCTTCCAGTGATCGAGTGAATCTAATAAACAGGAAAATAAAAAGTTTGTCACATTGATATTCATCATTCTCTAGAGCCTAAGTCTGTACTAAAATACAATTTAATTCTTGTTCATTCATTACTTCTGAGGAAGACCAATAATTTAAATGTGCAATTTTCTGATTTTTTTTTCTTTCTCCAAAATTTTGAAACCAAAAGTGAGCATGGAGGTTTTTTGCAACTTTTCTGCATATTCTGTTGATAAAATACAGGAAACTCTGTGATTTACATTACCTCTCAACATCATTTTGAATTCATCTAAAGTACTCCAATTTTGTTTGTCTGTTGCCACGGTGATTCCACAAAACACATCAGTGCAGCCTGTAAAGATTTTGGGACCATTTTCCTCTAGCTCTTCCATCGCTAAAGAAGACCAGATCAATCTCAGAATTATCAGACAATGATGAACCTAAAGAGACATGCAAAAAGAAAAATGGAGATCCATGAGTACAAAAAATAAAGAAAACAATATTGATATTGAAATAATAGATCAAATAGCATGAGCAAGGTAAACAAATAGCGCTTTTTGCCTATTGGGAAAAAGCACTCAAGGAGGCATTAGTATAATTGTTGAAAAGTCTATGACCTCTATTGATTCTCAACATTTCAAAACACCACTATACAAAACTCACAAGAATTCACTCAAAATCTGTACTTTACTTAGTGACAATTGATGACACCTAACTAGCATTTAAATAAAATCAATTTAACTTGATGTAACTATGACAAATAGTCAAATACTTTGAAAATATTCAAAAGTAAGTATTACAATGATCTTTTTTTTATTTTCTCCCAATTAATTTGTAGAATTGTATGTCTAGACTATAATTAGACCCAGGGTCTATGCGGGAAAATTCCTAAGGACCTTATACTTTTTTTAATTTTAGCCCTAATGTCATGACTATAATCAGGGTACGAGGCTCATACCGTTTACGCATAGACTTCATGCAGTGTATATTTGTAGGATATTACTTATCAGGAGTGACAAAACAGGAGTAACCAAATCGATAGATGTGAACCCTAGTGGTCGTGTGTGTGTGTGTGTGTATTGGGTTTTTACAGACTTGTATCAATCAGATCTGAATATTTAAGTCTGGGGACCGACCTTTAAACGTCACCATCCGAAAGACGTGACTCAGTTTCGAACCTGCGTTCTCGGCTGAATCAGTTTGTAACTTCCACTTTTAGCTGGATTACAGGCGCGCGCCACAACGCCTACTCTATGGTCTTGGACTTAGTAGTCTACTATCAACATGATCAAACATTCTTTTCTTTTCGTTAAACTGGCTTAGAGTTAGACTAGGTCTAGGCCTAGTCCAACTCAAGTTGAGTGAAATCCCAGAGACCAACAGAATCATTGTACTGTAGAGAACAATTCCTTAGCCCTAGAAAATTAAAGTAAGACAACCCCTCACATTCACGACACTCATTCACAATCATGTAATTTCATTTTTTATTGCATTCCTTGCAAGTTGCATAGACTCTACAGACTACACTACAGCAGCGCAGGCTGAGCTGCGCCGCGCCATCTGGCTCAGCTCTGCACTGCAGAGTGAAACTGAAAACAAAATATGTAGAAAACTAGAACTAGGTCTAGAACTAGAAGGGGGTCTTTGGTATTATTATTCATCCCCGCTTGAGTACAAATAAACAGAAGACTTACTTAATTAAGTTATAGGATCCCCAGCCTAGGCATCGGTAGCAACTATCTTGAAGGAAGGGGTGGATGCTTTTCTCCAAGACCAAAGACAGATGACAGATGCATGAGATGTCAATATCTGAGCTGACACAGAAAACTAGTCTTGTTCAAGCATAAGTAGAGAAAATAATATATGAAAAAACACCAGATCAGAATACATTTTGAAGCTCATGAAGACTTAAATGTCATGTTTATATTTTATAGGTATTATGATAAATATTTGTTCATATTTGTCAAATTCTGCATATACAATCGTTGTCGAATGATCAGTAATATGAAAACGCCTTAAAATTAGACTATGACAAAATGGGCTCGCCTATTAAAACTAAAACAACAACAACATGGGATTATGTAATCGTTGACAGCATTGTACTTTGAATGGTCTAATCAGGGGTAACCCCCAACACCCTCCCCCCCTTGAGTCTTTTTTTTGTGTATGTTTTTTCAGAACCCTCCCCTTTTGATTTTTTTTTTTTAATATAAAAAAAAAAAAAATTATGCCAATGGCTGACCTTACCCCCCCCCCCCCCCCCCCCACGGAACAAAATGTCAAATTTTCAAATTTCGAGACAAAAAAAAAGTGTCCTCTTACCCCCCCCCCCCCCCCGAGCGACTTTTCGGCTGGCTGAGTCGTTGCGATTTTTATTTGGACCCCCCCCCTAAAAAAGGTGTCCGTTTACACCCCCCATTATTGCCCGCATTATTGCCCCCCCCCCCCCAAAAAAAAAAAAAAAAAAAAAAAAAAAAAAAAAACACTCTTGCCGAATTTGAGGATTTTCGGGCTTCCCTTTGCCAAGAATCGGCCTATTCGGGGTTCGATGTATAATGCCGAATGCAGCTCAACATCTCTGGAGGATAAAGTAGTAACCGTGACTTTTTATAAAATGTAATTAAATTTTATATTGGGACACTCACTTACTAGATCCTGGCACAACAAAGGGAGAAAAATGAGAGAGGTTTTGATATTTTTCGCATAAACCTCGCTTGAATTGTATTTGAAAAAAATAACCCTGTCATAATGGGCCATAATAATCTTTCAGGATCGTGATTTTTTTTTCTTCTTCATTCCTTTTCCCACTTTCTCTGTTGGATGTTTTAAGCGCCCCCTCTCTTTTTCGTGTGTACACCTCCTTAAAGTGCCGCCCGGCCGGTGCACTTCTCACCCCGCCCTCTTAATTCGTCACTGCAAGAACGTACGGTGCCCTGGGATAGCACTGAAACCCTGGGGGGGGGGGGGGGGGGGGGAGGAATGGGGGTATTCAGATTTAGTTTGGACGGGGTGTGCCACTCAAGCCTCGAAACCCCTACCCATTATTAGGGGACAATTAGGGCATTTTTCTCAATAAAAGACCGATTTTTCACAGTTTTCGTTTTTTGTTGTTGTTTGCATAGCATATTACACCTGAAAATTTTGAAAAAACAGACTCATTTTTAATGATATTTTTGTCAAAAGTGGGATCCATATGCCATGTTTAGGGATTTGTTGTGAAAAAGTTACCCATTAGAGCGGCACACCTCCATATGTCCTAATATGTGAGTCCCCCGGAAGGAAACTCTCCCGTTATACGTTCCATTCTCTTGATTAGGCCAATTTACACAAAAGAGGAGGCAGGGCATTACTGTTGACTACTTTTCAATTTTTTGCTTTTATGCATTTGTATTTTTTTGGAAAGTTTGTATATGTTATGATTTGATTTCTTAATAAACACATAAATAAAAAAAATAAACAAAATTTTGCTTTTATTCCCAAGATGATCGCCATGCTGAATATAACTGGCCGAGGTATAATTATTCAACACGTGATTTGTATCCTTTTAGTCCACTGACTAAGAAAATTTCAAAATTCAGAAAAAGTGAAAATTTTAGATGTAGGGAGGGGGGAGGATGCTTTTTTCTGAATAGTAGAAAGGAGGCGGTGGCCAATTAAACAATATCCTTGACAAAGATAATGTTATGTATAATTTAGCGCTTTATATATTTGTGTTCTTTTATAAAGAAAAAAGGCATCCTAAACGTGAGGATCTATTTATTTTTGCCTTGGGGAACCCCCTTTAAAATCCCGGAGTCCCGGTGCCACATTTTTTGTCTTCTAAGAAAACGTTATCCCCCCCCCCCCCCCCCCCCCCCCCCCCCCCCCTTCCGTCGGCGGTTTAATCGGCGCCGCAAGAATTAGCACTTTGCACTTTTAGCACCGGATATTTCTTTGTGTTGCAATTATAATTTAGCACCATACCGGTTAGGTGTATTTTCTGATCTGGCTGACGGACTTAATCTAGACGCGACTGTGCATGGTGAGAATGTTTTATTTCTACAAAAATGATGATAACTTAAACTTATAGTTTATGATATTCTATGTAATCTTTATAATATATCTATTTTTCATTTTGAAGTAACTTCATGACATTATTTGTGCATTTTGGTCCACTTTCGTTGCACGATTTCGTTCTCGCAAGCCAAGTACTCCACACGACATTCTTCAGGCCTCCAGGGTCAGTTCCGCTCCCACTAGACAAGGCGGCGTGTACGCTCAAATACCGATGCGGTGACACCGATGCTTGCGATCGCGTCGCGCTATCAAATCCCAAACCTTTTTAGTTTTTGTTGTCTGATTGTTAACAGTTCAGTTAGACCTACATCATGTAAATCCACGAATGATGAGGTGAAGCACGTATGAAGTAAAACACACATATCAATGAAGGCTTTTTGTTGATTTTGTCTTTTGAATTTGACTATTGTTGATGTGTAGATCTATTTCACTATTTCAATTAGGCCTACAAAATTATGAAATACAAATGAAGTAAAATAGGGTGGTTTAAATTCATCAGTTTCTTCATTCAGATTATTTTCAGTTCTTCTTCTTCTTCTTCTTCTTCTTCTTCTTCTTCTTCTTCTTCTTCTTCCTCTTCTTCTATCGAGGTACAGGTCAATACGTTGTCAGTGTATCTTCGTACTTTTAAAGTTGTAATGTTAGATGTAAGTTAGTTATATGTAGATAAATGGAAGATGTAGCTGTAGATTATAGCCTATAGACATAGGTGACGAGGTAGATCTAGATTAGACAGAAATAACCGTCTGATATGGGTCATTTCTTGTTGACATATAGAGGCGGTCAGAGGAGCCAGATGCAATCTCAGCTAAACCACCGTAGATATCAGAGACTGAAGCTTTCGGTCTAGATCTATGTGTGGTTTAAAAGAAAGCTGCTTGTTCAGAAACGTATCCAAAATTTGACCCGTAACTCTGGCGTGGAGATTCCTTCCTAAAACATACCCAAAATGAAGTAAATATTCATTAAATGTCCAAATAAAGATCATGACTTAAAAGTTGATAAGTTTATTACCTGTTTCGTGTCAATTTTCTTGTTATTTTTGGAGTATTTTTCGGAAAAACAATGATATTAGTATACACTTTTTCTCAGGTTTCACGGCAAACCGCTGCAGAATACAAGTACATACCGATACCGATGCTGGGTTGCGGGCGGGCGCGAGCCTGTGGAAAGTTATCTACTGTAATGAGGATCTGAGACATTATGCCGGAGTAATACGGGTCAAATTTTAGATACATTTCTGAACAAGCGCCAAAAAGAACAGGCGCAATCCTTGAGCGCAACTGTACTATAGCTGAGGTCATTCCGAGATTTAAATTAATCCACCTTAAGAATCAAGTTAGATATTTAATTTTTACCATTTTTCACAATTTTTTTTTTTCTTTGATTTGTTTGTGTTCTTGATCCGACTTCAAGTAGAAGTAGAATAGGGTTAGGGTTATCTATATCTTGCTTTCAGGGGAGTAGATTATCTCAATCACAAGAAAGAAGGAAAAACATTAAATTTGATGTACAAAAGGCATGGAGAGTTGTCCCCAGATGATGTCATCAAATTGAATACCGCCCTCTAGTGACTAGTCATTTCAAAAAGCTCTAATTTCCTTATTCCTTGCCCGATTTTCACTGAAATTTTTCAAATATCTTAAACTTTACAATAAAAGTAACTTAGTATGAAGGTGTTGGTTCCCTTTTTAAGAACTACAAATATGCAATTCACAAACTTATATTTCAATTTAATTACATAAATTTGCTTTAGAAATAAATGGATATTATTTCAGTTGACGGTACATGTTTTTATCGCTGCAAGGCTGTAAGAAAGGAGGCTGCAAGAAAGGAATCACACTTCGTGGTACCGAGTGCGTTCAGAAAAGGAAGTTGACATATGACCCACCGAAAAATGAGCAAGAGTACCACACACAAGACTAAAATGTTGATCAGACTATTACAATTAAATCGTAATACTAATAATAGACATTAATTTAATTGTCAAAATATATCCACAACATAATGGTTTACCCTTGATATTTTGATGAAGCAAAATAATTTAAAGCCCATCGAAGTGCTTTTCGTTCGTTCTATAAATGCGTGTATAATGGCAAGCTGAAGTTACGAGTCATGTTTTGCTTACATCCCTACACCGTCATCCGAGCAAGCATTAAACCAATTAAAGAAAAAAAAAAAGACCAATTAAGACTTCAAGGGACTCCAATTCAACAAAATTACCGTAAAATCATTATTTGCTTTGACAAATAATTTTGAAATGAGACGTAATTGTTATGCAGCGCAGTAGTCTATAGATCGCCGAGAGGAAAAAAAATCATGTGATAGGCACGCAAATATCACCTGATCTCAGGCCCCCGCATTTTTTCTCTCTCTCTGCATACTGCCACCTACGGTCTACTGCGCTGCATGACAATTACGTCTCGTTTAAAAATGATGGCTAGCTGAACTCGATTCTGAGTAGGTAACTCATGAAATATCATTATTTTTGTAAGACATTATGAATATCTATAGTATTATTTGTCAGAGCAAATAATTGTTTTACGGTAATTTTGTTGAATTGGTTAAAGTCTTACGTGATGTTTTTTAATTGGTTTAATGCTTAATGTTACGATCAGCTCGGATGACGGTGCATGATGTAAACAAAACTTGACTCTTAACTTCAGCTTGCCGTTATACACACATATTTGGGGACGAACGGAAGGCACTTCGATGTTATTTCAAGGGTTTTAAATTATTTTCATTCATCAAAATATCAAAGGTAAACCATTATGTTGTGGATATATTTTGGCAATTAAATTAATGCCTATTAGTATTACGATTTAATTGTAATAGTCTGATCAACATTTTAGTCTTGTGTGTGGGACTTTCTTAACTTGCTCAACAGTCTTCAGTGGGTCATATTTCCACTTCCGTTTCTGAACGCACTCGGTACCACGCACAAAGCATGATTCCTTTCTTGCAGCCTCAATTTTGAGTGATAAAAACACCTACCGTCAACTGAAACAATATCTATCTGTCTTTTCCGTCGCATTATTAGAACAGCAACTTAGTCTAACACCCGCCGCTGCATGCACACGATTTTTAGTGTCAGTGCAGTGGTGAAAATTTCGGGCACCCGGTCCCCGCCTGAAATTTTCAAGTCAAACCCGGGTTCGGCAAAACCTGTGATGACTCGGACCTAGTCCCTTATCATTCTGAAGGTGGGGAAATTTTATACTGTAGATGCCAGACCGACATCTTACCTCTCAATGAATGTAACTTGATTTAAAGTAAGAGTTCCCAATCTTTCAAGACTAAAATATCTCAGACCTTAAAGAGATTGGGTAACTTTGTCTCCGATTCTGAAACAAAATCGTGGATTTAGCAATTTAGCTGCAATGATAATTATAAACCTTTAGGTCAGTCAGGAAACCCATGACTTTTACAAGCCGATCGCGTGTCTGATTATCATTTAAGATATTTATGATTGGAAATCGAAATCAAATTTTGCGTTTTCCTAACGGTTTTCATAACTACAGTCTATTGGGGACTCAAAGATTTTTACTTTTTGGGGGCACTTCATGATCATTTTGAAGCGCAATTTTTTTAGGGCTTCAATATTACACCATATCAAAGACACTGATAACACGTAGAACCATGCTTCTTGGATTTAACATTGTTAAACGATGCCTTTAAAGCTAACCTTCAACTCTGGTATGAGAATTGTACTTTGAGAGAAAATTGCTGTTATTTATTCAGGATTGCTTATCCTGCCGTAGAGTAGGTTGTTTGAACCAGTGAAATAAAAACTAACGCGCAAAAACTTACTGGGCATCATCTTCGATAAAACCACAACTCCCCTTTGCACCTTTGTTAAGCACCTTATCTTTCAATGCTCATTACTCGGCTACTACCGGTATACATTTTCACCCAAAATTGTTTGGCACATGTCATTTATTTGTAATCTTGAACATTCAGTGTAAGTTACATTTGATTCTGTGAGAGTTTGTTTTCTATATTAACCAGATCCTCAAGTTCATCTGTAAGTATAAGATATGTTACATGTACCGTGTTAATTCTTTTAATTTTAAATGTTTAGAATGTAGGCATGTTGTAGACATAAAAATACAACTCAATTCATAAAGTATAGAAATAAAGAATTAATCATTTATGGGTAGCATATTGAAGACTGCCATCTTCTGGTGGGTAGTGGCATATGTACATGTATATGTATAACATATGTAGGCCAAAAATGAGTTTGATGGATGGAAGTAGAATTAGGGGAAAATGAAGAAATGTGTTACTGGCTCACTATTTCAAATAGGACATTGTTCATTAGAGCTATTTTTCTAGTGACTGCTTTCTACTACACTGTTTTTTTTATTTTTTTTATTTCTCTTTTCTCTTCTTTTCTCTTCTCTACTTTTTCAATTCTTTTCTCTTCTCTCTTCTCTTCTCTTCTCTTCTTTTCTCTTCTTTTCTCTCTTTTTTTCTCTTCTCTTCTTTTCTTTACTCTTGTCTTCTCTTCCCTTGTCTCCTCTCCTTTCCTCTTCTCTTCTCTTCTCCTTTCCTCTTTTCTCTTCTCTCCTCTTCTCTTCTCTCTTCTTCTCTTTTCTCCTCTTCTCTCCTCTCCTCTCCTCTCCTCTTCTCTCTTCTTCTCTTCTCTTCTCTTCTCTTCTCTCCTCTTCTCTCCTCTTCTCTTCTCTTTTGTTCTTTTCTCTTCTCCCTTGTCTCCTCTTCTTTTTTGTCTCCTCTCCTCTTTTTTGTCTCCTCTCCTCTTCTCTTCTATTTTGTTATTTTCTCCTCTTCTTTTTTGTCTCCTCTCCTCTTCTCTTCTCTTCTCTTTTAACCCATCTGCTTAAGTTTTGAAAGCACACCTTTGAGCATTCTCTGTCTCTCAATTTTTTTTCTTCTTCTCTAATTCATGTAAAACGCTATTTATTTGTATACGTAAGTTTTAACATGATTATTTAGAGAATTCTGCATGTAAAGACAGGTGTGCAAGTGTAAAGAAGACGCATTTATAAGATAGAGAGGTTGGCAGAGAGAGGGACATAGCAGGGATAGGTTAGAGAGTGAAAGGGGAAGTGAGAGGAGGAGGGAGAAGTAGGAAAGAGAAGAAAGACGGAGAGAGGGGTTGGGAATGAGGAAGGGAGAGAGTGAGGAAGAGAGATATAAAGGGAGAGGGAGAGGGAGAGGTGTATTTGGAAATACATGTAGTATGTGTGAGAGAGAAAGGGAATAATGGGAATAGAAGAAAAAAAATACAGGAAGAGAAGGGAATGCATGAGGAAGAATATTAGGAAGGAAAGGAGAGCATACTGGTGCATATAGTAGAAATGAAAGAACGGAGAATATAAAATAGTCATGAGAGAAATAACTATACGGGAAGGGGGCGGGGATGGGCAAACAAGGGTACACTTAATATGCATGTCCTGTTGTGTGGAGGTAACACAAACTGTACAGCTTGTTTAAACAAGTGGCTCAAATATTCCCCAGACATAGAAATATTCCTAGGTCTTGATTGACGTGATGAGTGCTGGTCATGACTCACCAAACCACATTTGTGTGCATCACTAAAAGAAGCAGCAGCACTCGTGGAGTGTGCAAGTGATATCCCCTACCCTAGCTACATCATGTGTCTCAGTCACATTCATAGTTTCCAAGAGCTAGTCAAGACGCAGTAGGCCTCCAGCGCAGAGAGCACCACCAGGAGGGCAGTTCTAATTATAGTCAACAATTAAGTCGCCAAGTTTACTCAAAGGGGGCCACAAAAGAGGGATCTTCTCGCGGCGTGACGGAAATAACACTTTGTTAGATAAAGATAATCCTGCCCGTAGCAATTGTCGCATAAGATGTATCATCACTACCCCTTCTCGCTCTATCCGCCACAGGATCAGCTAGAGCTCCTGGACTTGCAGCAACAGCACCATCACCTCCAACAGCAGCAACACCTTCATCAACAGCAGCAGCAGGGCGGGGCACAACATTTCATGACTGAGATCGACAAGAAGCCGGTCATCCTAGTGGTCCCTAGCATCCCTGGACCGTCGTCATCGTCCTCGTCAACGTACTCGTCCAAGATGGCAGCGACTCCTATGAACGTGTCCTCTGCGGGGGCCGGGGGACGCATCATGAGCGGCGGGCAGGCCATGCATATGGGAGGAGGGGGCAGCAGCAGTGGAGGAGGAGGGGGTAATCCTCAGATGATCCAAGCCCAGGAGATGCCCACGAACCTGATGGTCAAGCAGGGTCATTCGTCTTCGGCTCAACCAGCATATGCTGGAGGTAGGACTCATGTGCATGCGTCCAAAAGCAAAGGTATTTATGTTCTGCTTGTTCACCTTTTATTTGCTTCCCTTCCATTATGTTGACATTATTCTGTACAATTCATACCATTCACTTTTTATGTGATCATCATCGTTCTCTTTCATTAGTATTGTTTTTTTTAGACACACACAAACTCATGAAATGATGAAAGTGTTAATTAGTCTACAGGTGAAAGATTTCTACAATTTTTTTTATTTTAATATTGGATTTGATCAATTATTATCAGAATGTTATATAACCCTTTTTATTAATTCAAATACATGTGATATATAAGTCTAAACATTAATTGTTAAACGTAAAAGTCGTAAAGGTTTTTGTCTCATCCAGTTCTATAAATGTAAATTTGTTTAAACAAATTCAATTGCAGTTAAGGTTTTTGTAAAACTCTGTCGATGGAGAAAGTCTATAGATCAATGTTTTCTTTCAAATCATCCCGCTACCATCAGCCAGAAAATGTTGCTAAACAATTCCTTATTTAGTCCATTCCCTGCATCACATTTTAAAGTCATTTGTCATTATTCTCATTTGTTAAAAAGAAGAGCATGGTATGTTACATTTGCATGATTCTATAGCATTACACATGTAATCTTCATAAGTAACATATGAATTCACTTCATACATGTATTATTGTCGTCCATAAAATTGGAATATATTTTTTTGTACTTCCTTTAAATGATTGTTACAATATGGTTTATTCTTGATATATAAAGTGTAAATCTTCTCAGAACTTCACTGGTCAATCTGTATGACTCTTTTATTGATCAACAATGTTTGTAAGAAGATATAAACTTTATCTATAAAGAATAAACCAATGTGGTCACAATCATTTCATGAAAAGAGGTTAAGAAATATTATGCCATTATATGTATCTCCCTCTTGAAAGATTTGCAAGCATGTCAGCTACACTGTATGTGATTGTCTACCTTTACATTATGTAGCATGAAAATCCTATCCATAATTGTAAAAGGCAGTCTTTGCAGCATCCAAGATGTCGTTTAGGAGTTTATAAATGTCACTGATTCGTCATAATCCAAGAAATATGTCACTGAGCATGAAAGTAATGACATCTAACCTTTTCATTTGACACTCCATGCCATGAGCCATTTTTAGTCACATGTGTAGCTAAAAATCATGAAAAATTTGGATTTGAGCCTCATTTGTGTATTTTGTTTTTTATAGCGCCTTGAGTAAGTTATTAGATAAGTGCGGTTTATAAGTATTTATTATTATTATTGTTATTATTATTTTCTATTCATGTCTAAGAGCACTAGTTTTCACTTTCTGATAATTACATGATAGGCAGTACAAGAACAGATAGAAGGCCTTTTTTCAGTGGTGAGTTGTTTTATATTTTTCTTTCAGAGGTCCAATTTCAATCAATTAGAATTTAGTGGTGGTTAGTGGTTTTAGTGGTGGTTATTTTACCTGACTGCTAAGAAAGCATAAATGCTTGTGTGTGAGTTACAAGCAACCAGAGGACTGACGGCTTTAGGTGTAACTTCACCATTTGGGTTTCACAAAGTACAGATTGCACAAATTGGAAGGAGGGGGGGGGGGGGGGTTGGGGGTATACTGTGGTTGAGACCTTTTGTTGTCATATATTTTTAACTCGACTAGAAATTTGTTGTTTGGTAACATGTGAAGGATCATGTCTGTGATATCAATGTTGCTTCTCAAAGAATGACTATAATGTAATATCCATCAAGTATCATGACCATCATGCTGAAAAAGCACTCATCGTACACAGATAAAGAAAATGAAAGCAAAACAAGATCAAATGAAAGGTGTTGAAAGAATCCAGTTATAATCCAGGATGTTCTTGGAAATTGCAGATATCCTGTTTCCTGTGTCTTGGAGTACATTCTGAGAGAGAGAGAGAGAGAGAGAGAGAGAGAGAGAGAGAGGGAGGGAGAGAGAGAGAGAGGGAGAGAGAGAGAGAGAGAGAGAGAGAGAGAGAAAAGTCATTGGTTCTGTTTGTACCATGTTCCTTCTTTTGCAAAGGCAAAGATTTTTTGTGTATCCCTTCCTCTGAATTTGGAGGAAATCTACAGGATTTGGATAACGTACATGAAATCATTCATTTGAACCGATAATCTTTCTACTTCAGGGATAATGTTAAGTTTATTTTGATCGTTTAAATTAAATCCATTAGTTTAACAAGTCTACCTGCTAAATATCTTATCTCTTAGTGGCTCTCCTGTTTTAGTAATAGATAAATTAATGTATCTCTTAAGATCTGTTAATGATCAGTTCGCTATTTTGATATTATGTACACTGTACGTCGCTAGCGTTTCAAGGGTAATTGAGAGATGTTTTCATATCTTAGTGAGATTGTAGGGTCTCCATATTAGGCCTACTCTATATGGCTTTAAGTAGATTCAGACAAAAACAAATCATTGTAAAGCCCTTTAGACATTTTGTTTGCTCAAATCAAAGTACCTCTCTCGTCACTTTAACCATTGGGTTAATCAGGGAAAGAATTAATATTTATTTTTCGGGGGCTACTTTTCAACCTTGCCTGCATGAAAATAACATCCTAAAATTTGTTTTATATTGAACTCTTTTAGGGATTTCGGGGGCTATTTCTCCCTGAGCCCCTGTGTATTTTTTTTTATACATGGTACAGTGTAGATCTCAAAATAACACTTTTTAGGATAGATCTTCTCCAAGTATACATGTGTATGTAATAAATCAGTGGTTAGCTAGTGTGGTCTGCAAATGCTCTAGACCAATGCCCTTTGAAAAGAAAAAATCATCAATTTCACAAAACTGTATTATCCACCTGTATGCACCTTCTTATAAAGCATCCATGTAAGATTAAATATCAGTTCATGTCCCAAGAAGGGATAGGGGGATAAGGAAAATAATAAGGGGGGAGTTGGATATGTCAAGTGCTACCCAGGAAAAATTCGTTTAGCATAGGAAATTGACAGTGGAGCAGTTGTTGGAGAAGCATGTATTGTACAACTGGGGGTGTTTCACAAAACTTTTCATCAGTGACAAACGACAGTTGTTGTTATAAGCTACTGAAATCCTTGCTTCTGATTGGTTATCAGCAGATTTGTCACTGATATTTTTCATTAGTCATTGAAAAAAGGCTTTGTGAAACAGGTCCCTTGAAATCATACATTGTAATCTTTGTATAATTCCCATTTCTGAAGGAACCCTCAATGCAGCAGCAGTGATCCAGCAGCTTCAACAGCAGAGGCCTTCAGCACCGCAGAGCAAGTATGCCGAGCTGCTAGCAGTCATTGAGGACATGGGCAGGGATATCAGACCTACGTATGCCGGCAGCAGAACAGCCACGGAGAGGTTAAGACGAGGTAATGTGGATGTACCAACATTTGCGAGATCTTGAATTGGATTAATGTCTGGAGATTGTACAGTCAAACCTGTATAGAAATACCACTGAAAGAAAAGTAGCCCTGTAGGCAGGTGGTTTTTATTTAAAGGTTACCCAACCCTTTGAATACTATAAAGTCTGAAAGCACTTGGGGCTGGAGTATCTGGAATGAGCAAGTTAAAGTCAAACCTGCTGTAGCAACCACCTGTATAGGAAGACCACCTGTCTATAAAGACCACATTTTTGTTTCCCCAGAAAATGGTTTGTCATTGAAACCTGTAATAAAGGAACCTATAATACATAAAGAGCATCTGCCTATAAAGGCCACTTTTCTTGTCTCCCTTAGGCGGTCTTTTTGTGCAGGTTTCACTGTTTTAACAGGTTAAGTTCAGGTTTTTATGTGAAATATTATTCAGGAGACACTGTTCAAGGGAAACATCAACAAAAAAAGTGGTATCAGCTGAAGCAGGTTTTACTTAGCATGGGATACAGACAATGACGTTCTTTTTGGAGAATGTACCTAACATTGAAAACTGATGTCACAAGATAGTTTTTCATATTTTCACTGTCCATCAGGATCTTGTAGCTCATAATAATGCTTGTACAGCCGCTTATTTGGCCAAACACCTTTCTCAGAGCAAACAAATTTGACCTTGCAATCTTTATAACATAAGGAATCTTTGATAGTGCTGGTGACAAATGATAAACCATAGAGGTATTTTTGCAAGTAAAGATGATTGTGACAACTGAATGTTTAGCTTATTGTCTTGCCTTCATACCTGATTTGATATGATATAGTTTTCTAATTGTGCTTTGTTACATTTTCATTGTGAATCCAGAGCAACTGATGATGATAATGACGATGACAGCATAATAACTAAATTGTAATGTGAACACTTTATATCCATTTTATCAATCCTACCCAGGTATCACACATGCTAAGGCCCTTGTCAGAGAGTGTTTAGCCGAGACTGAACGCAGTGCAAGAACATGATTATCCGCCCGTGAGAACATTCCATGCCAACTTGACTCAAAACACACTCAAGAGTCAGAGCTGACCAAGGTTAAACCTTATCCTGCATGCTATATGAACTGGTGCTGTATGAACATGTAATATCGTCTAGAAAACCCCACTTAGCTAAGTATGTGGGACCAACCCAAACATAGTGTTGGATGAAATAAGGCAATTGATATGCTGAAGGTGGATGTATTTTTATACCAAGGTTTGTTACTTTATGTTCTGCTGTAAATGAAATGCTAAATTGTTTTCTATGTTTAACATTAAGAAAGTCAGCATTTCAGTTCATTTAGCAAAGTTGCAAAGTTGCCTTCTTCTGACGTAATAAAGTATTGACATTTTTGAGTGACAGTTGTCTTGTTTCCAATGTATAGGAATTTTCCAACAGATGAACTGACATTTCTAAGGTATTGAATTGCCTGTAACAATTTCTTAAAAGTTTAACAGTTTGAAAAATACCCCCCTCCCACCCCATGAATGAATCATGAATGAATCATTCAAGGTGTAATGATACATTTTGGATTAATTCTGTTGTAAAATATACATGAAAATGTTAATCATGCAACCTAGACCCCAATTGACCTTTGAATAAATCTCTTGGGATTCTAGCCCTGCTCAAACAATGTGTCTGAATGTTACACTTTCTTGGCAAGAATGGTGTAGATAAACCTTGATGTAATTGTTTCTGGGGAAAAATGTTCAACGCAAGAGTTTTACTGGAAAGGAAAAATATTGCATTGAAGAGCAATATGCTTGTGCATGTAACTCCTTATGTGGTTTGACTTGTTTTGTAATGAGCTGTACTTTCTGGTATGCCAGTCAATTGCCTGCAGACATTAAGTACAGGAGATAATTGGTATGTCAGTGAAGCTACAGACATGTTGAAATGTGGAGCGATTGTCCATTTTGAGTTCAAGCCAAGATGCTTGCGAAAAGCTGGTCGACTTGTTAGGACCGAACACTGACACACTATTGGCAAAGTCCCACATATCCAGGCCCCCCAGGTGTTTATGGAGCCTTGCCAGTCAACGCTTTAATTGCAACATTTAATGTCCATTCCTGGGAAGAAAATGAGTAGCAGGATGCTATGCATCAAAATTCTTTAACACAATTATTGGAATTTCTCTGTCTGTGGATCTTAAACTTAAAGGAATGGGATGAACAGAGTTAAAGAGGGTTCAGTTCCAAGAAGAAAAGATAGTCTCTTGAGAGCCAGAAAGGCATTAACTCTGTTTTAAAATATATAAATTAATGCCCTTCTGGCTCTCAGCAGATGAATTGTTTGAAAAGATTCTGTCCTTTGAAAGGTTGTGGCATATTCGGATGCATGTTCATGTATATAAAATTGCAGGCATGAGTGCACACCTTGTTCTTTGAGAGAAATTAATCTACAGAACGGTGCTGATGATCACCATAATTGTTGTTAATAGATCAGACACCTTCTTATCAGCTTCCTTTCATTGTTTTCAGTTTTCACCCTTTTGTAATATATTTTCTACTTTCCTTGACAAATCCAAAGTACATTTCTATATTCTGCATTTATTATACCATTTTCCCTTTGAATCCCATCATCAGCTTCTCTTTCTGTTTTACTTTTTCATAAAATGTACTATTTTAAACAGGTGTCGAGAGTAGGCATGTTATGGCCAAATCCACTTGTTATTCTTCATGATGCCAAGTTCATATTTCATGCAGAATTTTTTTAGGCCTTGTGCCTGGAATTTCATTTCCCAGCTCCTGTAAGTTTGTCCCCCCCCCCCCCCCCCCCTTACAGTCCATAGGATTTCTTTTTTTATTGAAATTGAATAATTTGTCTTTTTTTAAATGTTGTAATGTATTTATTGACGTATAGTGGCGTATAGTGACAATTTCTTAGGACAGTAATGCTTTATAGTAAATCATTTTCTAGTAAAACATGTTTGGGAGGAGTAATTTCATAATCGTTAGGTTATATAGAATGTAGCATTTCTTTTCTGGTTGAATTGTTTCATTGGATGACTTCAAACCATTGGATTATAGTGGGTAGCATTCAGAGATTTAGCATAGGTAATTAGTTTAATTTTATGGATGTATCTGATGGGAGAAAGGTTGAATCAGAAAAGAATAAGTACTACAATTCATATTTTCCTTCCTTGCACATAAAATGTAAAAATGGGGGACTTTCCTATTTTGTTAAAATTGATATTTGTTATGTACATAAAGCTGTAATTTCTTGACAACTAAATGTCAGTGTCTTTATCAATATTTATATGTTTGTGAAATGTACAGTATTTCTTAAAATAAAGTAGATAATCTCACACCACTCTCACACCGTGTCACATGTGACTGCATGCATTATTCCATAGAACTTTGTGTGACTTGGTGTTAGGGTGTCTACTTTATTTCAAGCAATACTGTACAGTATGTCCCTTGAGATATTATTGAAAGAGGAGTTTATGTTTATGAGGAGTTTTCATGTATTCGTTGGTTATGGAATAGAAGAGAATGTTGCATTCTCATGAACAGCATGAAGGTGACTTTTATAGATGACTGATCCAATATTCCAACACCCCTAGAGTGATTTCACAAATCCATAATTGTTAGCAAATAACTTTTTTCACCCTCGTTTGTAAATCAAAAGATGCAAAACTTGTCTGCTAGTGTCCCCCCACCCCCCCCCCCTCCTCATTATCTAAAATGCTCTAGCTGCATGTATGCCCCTTTGTTGCAGAACACACAAATACAAGTAATAGGACCTTGTAACTATCAAGCCAGTGTCCTTGTGATCTCACCACTCCCACAAGACATTTTATTTTGGTCATAGAAAGTTGAAACGGCTCATAACCTCTAATATATGTACTCAGATATTGCATTCATGTGAGCTGGTAATTCGAATCAGTCCCGTATTAGGTGGGAGAATCCAGGAACAATCCAAGGTGATAAAGATTATATCTAATCCTTCAAACCTTTGTCTTTCATGGAATCCAAATGTAATTATATCAATTGATGTTGCATTTCGGAGTAGTCGCAATGCTGGAGATTTGCTTCGTCATCTGCACTTATTCCAAATCACTTAACATCACAAGAAATTCCCAGACCTGACACATGCGCAAGAACTTTTAATTTCCAGTGTTGCCAAATCAGTTGAATCGTCTGTTAACGAGATTACTGGATAGAAAAGAGAACCAAATTAGTCACTAGTGAATCTGTACAAATCTTGAGGCTTGAGAAGTAAATGTGTTTTGGCATCCACCTGTTTGAGAAAGAACGGTACTAAACCTGAGTCATGGGTTGTTCTTTTATGTTCCAACACGTTCCAACCTTCTCTCCATCTCTCCTTTCATTAATGGATAATCAAAGTCATGCGGGTCTGAAATCGTCCTTTCATGAATTTGAGAATCGTTATAGCTCAAGTTGGTAGTTATTTCAAAGAGGACTATTTTAAAGTGAAACCAATCTCAATAGTTTTGAAGATGTTTGGTGATCTTGAGTGTGATAAGCAGGAAACTGGTTTTGTTTAAATTTACTGAATATATCCAAACTTGATACATTCTTAATAATATAAAAAAATCCTTCAATATCATAACTCTTGCAAAAGAAAGGCCCTACACAGTCCAAACTAATATATGCAAGATGAATTCCATCCCTAGGAATCTTACACAACAGGTGAATGTTTTAAATTCATCATCGGGGATTCAAGGGAAAAGAATTGGGCGCGATTGAATACATAAATAGCCTCTTATCTCACTTTCAAATAATCACACAATTATCCAGTATTTGAATGACCCAACTCAAATACTTTTTTGTTGGCTCGCCATTACATGCACATGTGAATAATCCTCTTGATAGAGATTTTTTTTTTTTTTTGGGGGGGGGGGGGGAGGGAAGAGAAAAGAAAGTCTCTTCTGAACAAAATGTAATCTATTAAGGGTTTCCTGCCTCGAGGGAGATACGACAAACCTTGGTAAGTTGGCGCTTCCTCCCACCGAACCAATTAAATCGACAATGGGTTTTGACAACTGTGGTGGATCCAGACAATAGGCGGCATGAGATGCCATGTCAGAGGGGAGGTGGCATGACTCTTCACTTTTTTTTTCTTCCCGCAAGACGAGTTTGAGGACTGTTTTTAAAAGGATGCCCCTCAACTTTTTCATTCTCTTTTGTGGCTTATGAGAAGAAGGGGCTTTAAGGGTGGAATTTCTTATGTTCTTTTTGAGGTCTTCTTATAAAAAAAACATTTTCTCTTGTCGAAATGCAAACTGAGAGAGGAAGAGGAGAGAAAGATGGAAAGAAGAAGGAATCAAGGAAGGAAAAATAGAAAAGGGGAACAAAAAAGGAGAGATGATGAGAAGGGCAGAAAGAGAGAAAGGAATGCTACACGTTTTTGTGGTCTGGCTTGTGTAGAGGCCTGGATAAATGTACTAAGGGGGTGATCTTGGTAAGATCAGGTAGTCATCATTTATCAATGTTACGAGAAAGCTCGCCATAAAGAATATAAGTTGCAGCAATTTGACATCTCTTATTTGAATTTAAATCTCCTTATAAACATATTTTTGTATAATATGTAAATATCAATGTGCATTCTTGTTTCATGTGTATTTTCTGGATGAATAAGTCCTTTGCTACTGTGTAAGCTCTGTATAGTTGCTATTAAAACAACATTAATATTTGATAGAATACTCTTTTGTTACTATCAGCTTTGTAATGTGACTGTCTCAATGAAATAATTGAATTTTAACTGTAGTTAAAGGTACCAAGGATGAGTGAGAGAGAAAGCGAGAGAGAGAGAGGGGGGAGATAAAGAGAAAGAAATAGAGAGAGAGAGAGAGAGAGAGAGAGAGAGAGACTGGAGATGGAGATGATGGAGAGATCAAATACATGTATGTAGGGGAGAAAGGGAAAAAAAAGAAAGTAAGAAGCATTTGATGAGAAAAAGGGTGGCATAAAGACAGACAGAGATACAAACACGGGACGGTAAGCAAGAGATGAAAGCATAAGAAGAGCAATGTACACACGTATTAAGAAAGAGAGAGAGATGAAGAAGTGGAGTTAATAGACAAAAAGAGATGAGGGAAGGGGGGGGGGGGAACAGTGAGAATTGGATAAACGGTCTAAAGGCTTGTTCACATATATCTCATAGTTTACCAAAACTGTTTTTGTTTTCTAAATAAGTGGGGGCTAAAATAGTGCTGCACACACCAAAGTTCCTTTTCCACTTTTCTATATGTTAGCAGAAACAAAAATGTAAAGTGCATTATGCATAAATTGCTGCCATTTACCACAGCATATGTGAACATGCTTTGTAAATGCCTAAATGAAAATGGAGGGGAAAAAGTTGTAAGTAAACAGAATTGATCAGATGAGATACACTTCAGGAGTTGGTTTAGTTGAAAGTCATTAATACTACGCCAGGAGTGTCATATTTGACAGACATGGCGCCTTATAAATGTTCACTATTAATATTATTATTATTTACATGTACATACAGAAAAGAATAAGCAGTATATACAACGTATACATGTATAATCGGATCAGAAATAAAGACATTTTCTCTCTATTTTGTTTGTTTTCAATTTATTTTCCAACATCATCATCATCATCATCATCAGAAGCTTTGCCTCTGACACACTTGTTCAATGTTCAGACTGCTGTAAGGCACTTTCAGGACTAGAAGCTAAACTGCAATGTTGGTCAATGATGCACAATTGTTTATTTTATAATGCACATATCTCTTCATATGTAGTCAATGGAAACTGTCATGATTAGAAGGCAGAGCAGTGTCATATAGGTCAATTTAAAACAAATCAATCTATATTTCTTCATAAACCATTTCCTGTATAGGATTCCATACAAACAATTGAAGTAAATTAAAAGCCTCTCTTATTTGTGAAAAAAGGAAACAAATCCGATAATATTTCAGCAAAGTCTAATGTTAGACTTGAATGAAATCATATTGCTCATTTTGAAAGTAAAAAATACAAATAATCTCATTCATATGCAGCAGAACGGGCAAGCCAATGTCAATTGTGTTTTGCCTAGAACCTTTAAAGACGAGCATACCCAGCAATTTTCAAATAGGGTCAAAACGCTACAAGTGTTATCAGAGTCATCATAAGATGAGAAAATACCATTGTCCATACTTTTCTCTAAGCCATCAACAAATACAGAGTCATATGAAAAAACTAATACGTAACTACATATTACAAATGCAATAGCTCCCTCCTATGTTGATTACAGGACAATAACAGGACAATTAAAGGACAATCCAACCCTAGTAATAATTTCATTTCTTTGAAAGCAGAAAAATAAGATAAACTGAATGGCAAAGTTTTGAAATAAATCAGACCAATAATAAGAAAGTTATGGCTGTCTGAAATATGAGATCAGCAAGTCTGTGCAAATCTCAAACTGGCAGTTTGGTCAGTGCATTGTAAAATAGTCGCGGATAACTCTCCTGTTTGCCGTGTACAGTGCCTTCTCCCTTGAGGCACTAATAAAAATATATTATTCATTATAGGTCCTCTAAAACGATAAGACCTTCCTAAATCATATATTTGTGTTGGAACAAACGGGAACGTTGTCTGCTACTAACTACATCACAGAGACATTACCCATTTAGCCAATTTGAAGAGTCCATACCTATTGTGATCATAACTTTCAAATTCATAACTTTCTCATAAAAGAATAAATTTTGGCTATCTTATTTAATTTTATTTATCTTGTGGTGACAAGTAAACAATAAAATTATGCCTTATATGAATTATGCCAAATATGCCTTAGCTAGTTTGAAAATCTACCTCTTGTATGAAAATCTCTCTTATTGCAATCAAGCCTTCAATGGTTCTATTTCTTTACTCTATTGAAGGGAAGTCTCACATATCTTTGTCTGTAACATCTTGATTTCCATTACCACTTGACTCCTCCTCCTCATCATCTACACTCGATCGTAGTGCCTTCAGCTTTTCAAGTTTCAGTCGCGTCTTTCGTTTCTTCTCCTCTCGCTTCTTGTTCATGGTCTGTTGGTATTGAGAGATGGCGCTCTGGTCGGCATGGAGATGCTGATCCAGCCTCTCTTTCATCAAGAGACGGGCAATCTTCTGGTTTTCACTCTGAGATCTCGTCTGATGACACTTCAAAAACAAGCAGATGCAAAAGATGATAACAATTATACAATGTTTAAAAAAAAAATTTTTTTAAAAGATGATTCTATGGCACTGATGGATAAAGATAATACCCAACCTAAATAAATTGTATCTTTTTTGTTGTTGCACATGCTGTTATCACTATCAAAATGTTAAAAGGGGAGGGAAGGGGATGGGTATGACTATAAACAGATCACCAAAATCCCCCCTCACAATACATACCGGTACCTTGCCCACGTCTATGACACTGGATGTTAAAGAAACATACAGTAAATCTGTTATTCAAGGGATAAGTAAAGTGGTCATTATAGACGGATGGCCTTCCTACACAATTTCATCTTTAATATGATCCTCTTTGTAGGAAAGTAGTAAAAATGCCAGACTACCATAAACTGGCGGTTCTTATAATACAGAGACGTGGTTAAGTTTAATGGATCCTGTTACCTTGACAACAAGTCCGGTTGGGATATGTTTCAGGACCACACAGTTACTGGTCTTGTTGGTGGCCTGGCCTCCTGGTCCAGACCCCCTTACAAACTGCTCCTCCAGCTCCTCCTCCTTGAGATCAGGGAGCTTGCTCCGGATCCTTGCACGGAGCTTGTCCCTTGTCGTGGTTGTGGATTTACAGCGTACTGCAGCTGGCCCACTGGACACTCTTTCTAAAGGGAGATGACCACTTTGTGTAGCTGTGTATTGATATGCTCCTGTCTTTGAAATGCCAGCACAAGGTTGCCAACTTAAGGATGGAAGTTGGTGAAAGTTCCTAATCTGAAATGCACTGTAATCCGATATTCCTCCTTTATTAAAAAAAGATCTGAATGTTTCTCCATATTTATAAAATACACATGCCCTAAAGCTAGTCAAAAGTGGATTTCCATAAGTCTGACTTATCGTTGGCCTGAATACACAAGAAGTGTTCCTCAAATCATATTTGGGTCTGCCAGAGTTGGTTATTCCTCCTGATGGACAGTAAGATAAACTCTTGTATTTTGGAAAGACACTAACTGGTGGTTTAAATTGCTCCTCAGGTAAATTTCTCTTTTTCCTCATCCATTTCTTGCCTAAAGTTCTGCTTGTAACATCAACATGAATAAATTGGCTGGAAACACTAGATGCACAAGAAAATCTTATTTCAGAGACAGTGGCATACGACATGGCTTCCCAAACCTTCCACTTTGAGAAATTACTGGCCAAATTAAATGTTGTATAAGAGTTTGGTGAAAGTCCTCCAAATCTACAGATGACCATTTTGCCATGAGACGTTTAGAGGCTGGGAATGACAAGGTTTGAGATCATCCACTCTCAACAATTAATATGAGATCCTTCAGCTGGACACATTCCAGAGTGAGATATATCTGTAAGAGATGAAATACATAATAATAATAACAATTTATAACAAAAACAATAATAATAATATTAATAACAATGATAGTTATTTTGTAATTATAATAACAACAAAAATACTATTACTACTAGAAGTCTAGTAATAATAATAACAATAATGATAATAACAATAACGATAATAAAAATAATGATTATGATAATAATAAAAATAATAATAAATAATTAAAACCATGTTTACAGTGCTAGTATTATTATTAAACAAAGTAACTTAATTTGTTGAATTGTCAGAACTTCCTTATTTTTTACAACAAATTAGGAAGGCCTTTCACTTAAGTTTCACTGAATGGCCACACCACACACAGTAACTCACATGAAAAAAGCTTGCGTCAGGGCTTCAGCAGAGACTGCATAATTATATTGAAGATATTCGATTTACGATAGTATTATTCGCTTCCCCAGCCCCGGCCCGCCGTTTGAGCAGATTGAGTAGAAAACATGGAGTCGAGGCATGCAGCAAAAGAGAGTCAATGCTAATGCATATTGACCTCTATACTAGCACTGCACTATGTTACTAGGTCTAGGCAGCATTTGCTAACAGGAATAGTCAATACACACATAATACACAAATGCACACAATCATGCTGACGCGGCTGTAATTGTATTTTCCTGCGGTACAACGTATAGCAGGAAAATGTTGTATGTGCGGATCCGTTTAATGATTACGTAATATGAGTGGCGAGACGCCACGATCCCGCGAGGCGGGATGGTTTGAATAACTTAGGAAGGTGAAAGTTATTGTATTGAGAGGTAAAGGAATGTTCAGAAAGGCATAATAAGAGAGGAAAATGGGTGTGGTAGCCATTCTAGCTTTGTCAGACACTAGATACACGACACAAATTTTAATTGAAACTTTTAATACAGAACAATTGTTTGGTGTTCATTTTGTTGGTGGTATAGAGATTCAAATACCGGTAAATCATTTTTATGGGGACGATTTGCCATTAGGTTTTTCCAGAGCATTTGCCTTATTTAGTTTATCTCTGGTTTTTTCAACCTCAGGAATCGGTCCGGGCGTGGGACAAAAAGGCAAAGCCCCATGCAGGTTAGGGATCAAAGCAGATCAAATTTAATATTTTGCACTGTTCTATACAACGTCAGTATATACTTAGGTGTGAACGTTGACGATTGAGATTGAAATTATGCAATGTTAACAATATATACATTTGATATTTTTAAATCAAGAATGAGCTTAAAAATTGAAATTATTTTGATGTTCAAAATTATATAATAAGATTGTTCATGATTGTTCAACAAGATACAATTCGAATAAAAGCTGGCTTGGTCGGTCTGGCAAGTTTTCCGGTCTGGCAAGCTTTCCCATAAAGTTTGATATTTATGTAATCTGTGAGTCATTATCTGAGTAATGAAAGGATGAGAATATACGCCAAGTAGACTAGGCTATGACATGACAGTAGATCTAGACTTACAATTTGAATTTTTAAATTATTCTTTCTAACATCGGTCTAGACCTAGACTAGACCGAATTTACCGTCTCTTTCGTTCGTTAGCCTCTTATTGGGGTAGGGTCGGCCGGCTCTCTCTTTAGAGACGGAAACCGTCTATACACATTCCCTTGATAACGCCACGGCCATTTCAGGTCGTAGCGTTTTGCCCCCAAAATCCCCCAAAATGTCATTTTACCATTTTTACAAATGTAAATTAGGCCTAGGCTATAATACATCGGTTCCACTTACTAACTTGATTGAAATAATCCGTTTAATGGTCCCTTTTAAGGAAATTATGGGTCAAAATCGACATCCATGTTGAAAATCTTGCAAGCCGTGTTAAACTCTCGCTGCCGGAGTCATCCAAATCAATCTCATCCCTTCTAGTCTACGCCGAAGGCAAAATGATTATGAAGGAAAAACTGTGATAACGCCATTACGAACGTGTAGATGGCGCACAGTTTTTCCTTCATAATCATTTTGCCTTCGGCGTAGACTAGAAGGGATGAGATTGATTTAGATGACTCCGGCAGCGAGAGTTTAACACGGCTTGCAAGATTTTCAACATGGATGTCGATTTTGACCCATAATTTCCTTAAAAGGGACCATTAAACGGATTATTTCAATCAAGTTAGTAAGTGGAACCGATGTATTATAGCCTAGGCCTAGACCTAATTTACATTTGGATATGCACGAGGTAAAATGACATTTTGGGGGATTTTGGGGGCAAAACGCTACGACCTGAAATGGCCGTGGCGTTATCAAGGGAATGTGTATAGACGGTTTCCGTCTCTAAAGAGAGAGCCGGCCGACCCTACCCCAAGAGGCTAACGAACGAAAGAGATGGAAAATTCGGTCTAGACCTAGACCTAGATCTAGAATCTAGACCTAGGGTCTAGATCTAGTCTAGATTCTAAGTTTTTTTTTTTAAATTTTACTGCTAATTTAGATTAGACTTCTAGATCTAGGTGTCATCAAATGTCACTAAAGTACTGATTTTTTTTAGTGAAATCAGTTGAGTTTTGTACAGTGGTGTTTGAAATGTTAAGTATCATTAATAGCACAGCCAGGATAGTAATGCAGCTGGTATGTCTGTGTGGAGTCGAGGTGGTGCAATTGTGGAGTCTTGAGATCCATACCGGTGACACAAATATGAAGAGGTGGGACCAAGCACCGAATCCGACAAAAAGATATTTGAAAATCACTAACACCAGACGACTTAAGGATACTCTAAGGACCTATAATCAATAGAGATGATTTTAGCTTACCTTTGGACCGTTGATGTAAATCTGTGAGCGTCACATTGAGCTTTGTTTAGGAGATTTTCGTTTTGATTGCATCCGTCGGCCGTCCCGAGATCTATACCTAGTGTCAGTGAGTCAGCTCAGCTCACTGGAAATGGGAATGCCTGCTTAGCTAAGTGGTGATTGGTCGAAAGTTAGGGTAAGACCATCGAATTTCAAGTAATTCAATTTCAATTCAGAACTTTATTTCAGACTCAGCTGCACAAGGCAGTGGTCCATAAAACATATGTTACATGGATAATTTAGCGGAGTATACATGATGAGTATAATAACAACAAATTGTACAAATACTAAAGAATATAACAAACTAAAACTATACTACGTATAATGTAACTGTAACATGTAACCTGTATCTGTAAAATTGATAACAGAAGGCCTATATAGCAATCTAACTCTAAGCTGTACCTGTAACTGCAATATTAGAATAAATATATGTATAACAAAGTGAAGTTGTAACTTAATTGTAACAATCTCTGCTCACTAACTAGAACAATTAATATACTAATAATAGATAACTAGATACACTGTCGCTCATAAAGGTGAAATATTTTTTTAAATCCCAATTTATGGAATTATTTTAAAAATAATTTAAAAATAATAGATCTAGATAATAGTATACATTCTCAGATTTTATTGAATAATAATTTGCCAATGTGTGTTTTGCGTGACTGCTAAAGCAACTATATGCTTCTATGCTTATCAACTAGGGGACCTATGCCCTTAAGTCATAAATGACAGTAATGAGGAATAATGCCCCACAAAAGGGCACTAATATAGCACATCGACACGGTGTTGATCCTGGGGCCTCACAGTTACGAGGCCATTGCTTTGTCACTAAACTATGACTGTACGCAGCGGGGGCTAGGGTAGGGGGCAGTTTACATAAATTAAAAAAAAACAGAAAATGCAATAAATTTTCAATAATTTATTGCATTTTACCCCGGTTCCCAACATAAAAAAATCTTCTGTTTGCCCATGCCTTGAGCCATAATGCATGGCCGTCCAGAGGATTTGTTTATGTTGGGGACCGGGGTAAAATGCAAAAAATTATTGAAAATTTATTGCATTTTCTGTTTTTTATTTTATTTATGGAAACTGCCCTCTACCCTAGCCCCCGCTGCGTACAGTCATGGTTCAGTGACAAAACAATGGCCTCGTATCTGTGAGACCCCAGGATCAAAACCGTGTCGATGTGCTATTTTAGTGCCGTTTTGTGGGGCATTAATCCTCATTACTGTCATTTATGACTTCGGAGGGCGTAGGTCCCTTAGTTAATAAGCATAGTATCATACACATGCTTTAGCAGTCCAGCAAAGCACACATTGGCAAATTATTATTCAATAAAATCTGAGAATGGATACTGTTATCTGTATATATTATTTTTAAATGATTTTTAAAATAATTCCATAAATTGGGGTAAAACTAAAATATTCCACCTTTATGAGCGACAGTGTATTATAACAAGCAACAAGGACTAAGGACTATATACTGCAACCATAAGAGGCTGGATAATCCTTGGTAACATCATGCAAGATATGATCAATTCCGAGGTGTAAGCAGGCTATTAAGCCAAAATTTCCAGAGGCCCGATGTGTACCTAAGGCAACTATACGTGGGGTTCACTAATACCTTTACAATACCATTCTCAGAGACATCTACTCTCCGGATGAACTTATACATGAGATTTCGTAATACAGCCGAACAGACTGGAACATTCAAATCAGCAAACATTTGACTAGCACTAAAGTATCTAGGTACCCTAAGAAGCATTCTCATGGCATCATTATAGGCCACAGTAAGCCTGTGCAAACTGCTCTTTTTAAAATTACTCCACAGATTCGCAGTGTACAAAGGTGTATACAGTATGCCCTAAATAATGCCACCTTTACATCCGGAGAATACATATGAAATTTCCTAACGAGCATATTACCTTGAGCATATAATTTAAGACACTGTCGACTAATATCTTTATCATCACAAAGGTCCTCAGTAAAAAAATGACCAAGATACATGACCTCTGTACATACATTGAGTTTACTCCACATAAATAAAAATCCGGGAATACCAATCTACGGTGTTCCTTACATCTAATTATCATAACATGACTCTTTTTTGCATTATATTTGACATCATTATCATATCCATAATCAGAACAAATCTTGAGCAAACTCTGCAACCCAGCAGTTGACGGGCTAATAATAACGAGGTCATCTGCATACATTAAATGATTGACTACTATACTGCCAACTACACAGCCTTTTTTACAAGCATTCAAATTGTCGGATAGACCATCCATGTACAGGTTAAAGAGAAAGGGAGAAAGAATACCTCCCTGTCTAACTCCATTACTGACATGGAATGGTTCAGACACACACACACTACTTCCCCATCTAGCCATCATTGTTTGATGGGTATACCAAAACACGAGTATCCTAATCAGGTACTTAGGAATACCTCTATCAGCCATTTTCGTAAACAGCTTTTCATGATTTACCCGATCAAAAGCTTTGGAAGCATCAAGAAAACAAAGAAACAAGGAAGAATTTCTGCTACGATAACTTGCAATAATTTCCTTCAGAGCAAATATACACATGTCAGTGCCATGTTTGGCTTTAAAACCGAACTGGTTATCTTTAGTAAGAATATACATCTCCAACCTACCAAGCAATATCTTTTCCAGCACTTTGGACAGGACACTAGCCAATGCTATAGGTCTATAGTTGTCCTTACTAGTAATGCGACCAGCTTTATTTTTAATGACCGGTGTGACCGCGCCGTTTGTCCTACCAGTTTCGTTTGTCCGTCGGACATAATATGCGGGTTTTCTGCTCGCACGGATCGTCCGTGACTCGCACGGATCGTCCGAGGGACGATCCGTGCGGTTTGCTATCCGCACATTTTGTCCCCCCATTGTTTTACGTGTATATTTGATAAAAGGAAGCAACTCGGCAAATCAATGTATTTAGACTCATTGTAAGTGATGTGGTTGACATTTTTTCTAGAAATTACAGAATAATAACTCTACAATTTTTTAAAGCAAATGGGCCAGTCCTTTTGAAAGTAGATGTGAATATTTTCTTTAAAACCTTTATTTTATGAAGGCATACTCGTGATATCGGCCCCACAACTGTTGTAATCGATTATACTTTTGTACGTGGCTTCGTACATCAACCAACTCACTACTAGTATATACTCGTGATACAGGCCCAGCTCCAAGTATTTGTATTGGGGGCGTTTCGAGGTTTAATGAAGGAGTTAAATGGGAAATAAAAGTGATTACAAATGGGGTTGAAAGTGAGTGGGGGAGGCTAGAGTATTTAAGATAAGGTAGAGCGTAGCACAAATTGGCGGATGCTCAGGGGTAGGGGCATTTAATTACGGTCAGATGAGCATATTTTAATACCTTATTCATAACACTGGCAGGTCACTAATTGGCGTATGGTCCAAGGGGCGGAGTCCCCGGAAGCGCAGGGGTTTTAGGCTTTAAAATTAAGGTCAGATTAGCATCCAGGGGCCAGCCTTAGGTCCCAAGGTGGGGTCCAGGGGGCAAAGCCCCCGGAAGCACAGGGGTATGGGCATTTAATTACGGTCACATGAGCATACTTTCTTTTCTATTTCTTTTTATCTAATTCTCTTTAATATACTTTTTCAAAAGTGTGTGTTGGCGGGGGGGGGGGGGGGCCAAGCCCGCCGTAGTAGGCCTCTAAATAGTAAATAAGCACATTTCTTGCCTGACTGTAAATTTTGAAATTTGTCATTCTCCCACAAACGCATAAAAAGTAAAATTTACTAAAAAGTGTGGAAAAATCCCGGAAAATTAGACCGTTTCAGCAGCATCTGTAAATCACTGGCATCAAATTAGAACAAAAAATTCACTTTTAAAGTTTATTTTGGTGGTGGGGGGGGGGGGGGGGGGTAGCAACTGGCTGATTACTTAGACCTATGGTGTCGAGGGGCTCTTTCTTTATTTTTGTTCGGTAATAAATAAGGTTAGTTTATGTGAGTGTCACTCAGGCGCGGACATACGGGGGCGACGGACCCGCCCCCCCCCCCCCTCTTTGAAAAAAAAAGGAAAGGAAAGAAAAAGAAAGGAAAGGAAAAAGAAAAGAAAGAAGGGCTAAAAACACGAGTTAGAAGTGGACCGATCAAGGCGCTCACTTATCCGTATCAGGGGAAAATACACGGGGGCTCGGGGTGAATCAGCTCCCGAAATGCCAAAAAGAGTCCCCGAAAGTCATACAAGTAGCCCCCGAAATTTTTAAAGTATTTTTTCCCTGATCCGTATATAGGACAAGGCCCTGGGGCAGCTAGCCATACTCCGATATTTGGGTCGTTTTCCGATCAGAACTAGCCCTAACTATCATTCCAGGATTTTGTTTCAGAACCTGAGACAAAGTCACCCAATCCCTTTAAGTTTCAAAAAGTAGACTTCATTGACCTGTACATAGGCTTAGGAACCGGGGGGTGCTTGGGGGGCACAGCCCCCCCCCAAAAAAAAATATATATTGGGGGGCTCAGATATCATTGAGCCCCCCCCCCCCCCCCACAAATATTTCGGCCGGGCTCGGTTATCATGAGCCCCCCCCCCCCTCCCCAATATTTTGTTCATGCTGATGAGTTGAGGGAAGTGTATGCCGGAGATATTGACTTTGTAGCATTAACTCGGCAGCTAACAAACCTCCAAGACGTGTATGACGATGAGAGCCTGTTTCAAATCGAGCAAAGCTAGGTTCCATGCAATCGAAACCGGGCTGACCAGATTAAACTTTAACAAAGCAGAAACACGAAGTTGAAAACCATCCAGAGACTCCCAATAAATTGCGTTACTTATTAATTAATTATTTCATTACAAATCTTTATTCTCATTTTTCTAATAAAGACTATAACTGATTTTCTTATAAATTTGAAGATATTTATGGCGTATATATTCAATATGAATGAACGCCACAAAACATTTACCAACAACAACAACAACGATGAGAGGAAACCTATCAAATACATTAAAACAATCTGTGAGATTTTCAACAACAGTCCAATCTATAAGAGATCATTCTCAGAGGTACACATTCTTCTTCTCATT